TAGATTTCTGGTAGAAGATGCGAGGTTAAAGGTGATTCTTATCACTCAAGGTGCTTATTAAATAATGGTAATCAACGGTGAAAATAATCAATAATAACAGCAAGGAAATAATAATATATAATATACAATAAAAATGCGAGATTCCATTAACGAGGAAAATTCACTTTTTACAATTTCAATTCATTTTATTTCATTTCGAAATTTGAGAGAAAAATTTAAATTGGTCAAGCAGATTCATGAAGAATTTATGATTGCCTATCTGAATCTCATTAAAAATTATTTGTCCACAGCAATCATTTTTGTGGGTGTTCGGATTTCGAAAATAAATACCAAATATATTATTATTATTAATTATTATTATTATTATGGCTGTCTTTTTTTTCGAATAACTCATAAGGTCGATTTTTGATTAAACAACACTTTTTCGTAAATAATTTATAAATATTTTTAAATAATTTATGTGGGTTGCTTCATCGCACCTGTAAATTTTTTTGCGCTACTGCGCATTCATATACATTGAAATCATTTTTCATCATCTATCAGCTGTAATTTATAATCGCTATTTTAATTTTTATTTTTGAGGGTTCTCCGATCCTCTCACAGAGGGCTAGCAGAGGTCTGAGAAATTGAGGCGATGCGAATAGCCTTTCAGCGAGCATCGTCCTATGATTCGAGCCGTTGCTGCATCCTGTATAAGAGAAATCTAGAAGATAAAATAAATCCTAAAATAGTGATAAATATACTAGAATCAGTTACCATGTATCCGTGGCTGAGGTCTGACACCATTGCTACTTGGTTTTTAGACTGGCATTACTGTGTAAAGATTTAGTGATAAGTTGAAATGAAAAATAAATTAACAATTATAAAATTAGAAAAAAATATTTTTATAATTTTTTTTATATGCTTCTATTCTATGCAAATTTTTTAAATAATAAATTATTAAATAATTCAAATAAATAATTTTCAATTTAATTTGTTTTTTTAGGAATTTTTAATAAGTTTTCTTAAAGTATTTTGTTTCAGATGTCTTTTCTCTTTTTTTTCAGAATTAATTTATTCAATAGAGATTTGTTCAACTTGAACAGAATTCGGCGACTTAGATATATATTTTTTCGTTGATGAATTAGGAAAAAATTTTTTTATTTCAATTGAAGATATTTTGTTAATTCTATTACATTTTATTGAACAGATTAACTGAACGGACACCACACATAAGCAGATTATTGATAAAATTAAAATCTTAAGGCTATAGAGCTGAGAATTGAATTTACGCTTCATCATCGTGATACCAAAATGATAAAATATCTTTTGAGAACGATGATTGCTATTGATGAGGTAACATATTTTTTCGGATTGTCAACCCACAGATATAAGCATAGATTGCGATTTCGTAGCGCTCATTAAGGTCTTTTATCCGATTTTATTTAGTTCATATAACTTTGCCTGTTCCTATAATTTTAACATATCAACAAAACTATCACAATTTTAAAAAATTTCATATATTTCCATAATATACATGTGCAAATATACATTTATGAACTTTTGCGAATAACTTTATATAGCTTTGTATAACTGAAAATTGCAAATATGCAATCCATTTCAACGATTAAGCATGCTGCCTAACTGAACTGCACGAAAAACTATGTGTCAATCTTTGAGGATCCAAAAAGCAAAAAAATGCATAGATGGCTAAAAATGTTCATGAATTTCACTTGAAAATCCACGAAATAATATGAAAGAAGTAAAGCCATAATATGACCGCATAACATGGTGAAATAATATCATTATCATATCATTATCATCATTTGAATCAATCCACTAGGGCAAAGTTAACTGCAAATCGTTGCAATCATTGGTGATGATAACACGTGAAGAAAAAAATAAAAATTATCTTTCTACAATTACTGATAATATTGCTATTGAAATGATAATTAGAACTTGTTATAATTCTGAGGCAATAAATATAAACAACTTTCGTTAAACGTACATCGAAGAGGTTTACACATCATTTCTGACTGGCTGGCAGTACAATATATAAATATATTATAGTTTTTGCTTCACAAATTGGGAGATTTTAATTTTTTGAAAAAATTCTCTTTAATTTCCATAATAGTTTTTTAATTTTCCTAAAAACACAAAGACCACTTTTTCAACGATAGAATGAATGATTTTTGCTATATAAATTGTTACATGTATTTTATTGCTAATGGCGTATGTGACATATGCGCGTATATATATTTTCTCTAAATTGCTAACAACTGAACTCTTCACAATTGTGAATATCGAGGAAATGGATGCCAACGAAAGGCATTGACAATATTAGCTAGCTAAATATGAAAATCAGCGATTTTCACTATTCCATCGCTTACGATTATATGCAACTAAAATGAGATGGACGGAATTTTAAGGCTCCAAGATAAGACATCCCAACTGCTATAAGACTTCCCTGGTTCTTTCATATGATAATCTGAGCCTATTAATCATTCGGCTATTTTGCCTCCCATTAATTTCGTTAAACAATTTCGTTCTGTGTAGAATTTTACTCTGCGAGTTTTCACTCTCTCAAGCAACATTGAACCTATCTCTTAAAAAATTCGGTCGAAGAGCGAATCACCTAAATTTCTATTATTATTAAATTTGGAAAATTCTTGGAAAAAACTTCTTTCAAAATTTTCACTGTTAATTTTAGAAAAATTTAAAAAAATTTAAAATTTAATGAATTTTAGAAAAAAAATAACGAAAAGTTCATTGAATAATTTAGTCATTCAAGAAATTCTAAAAAAAGAGAAAAAAACGGGAATAAATTTTGAAATTCAAACTTTAAACAACGAATAATGAAAAAAAAAAAACTAAAGGAAATGAAGAAAAAGCTTTGCAATTCAAAAAGTGCATTTCTCTCAATGGGAAGGAAATTTGTAAATTTTCGTTTAGCGATAAAATTTTAGAAAATCCAAAAAGGGAAAAAGAAAAAAAAGAGTTTCTTCGACTCTCTCGGGGTAAAACTAAAGGAAATGCGAACGATGAAGGATTATTTCGGCTGCCGCATCAAGTCATGTCTAAGGGAGAAAAGAAGGAGAAACGGGAACATTGCTGCAATTTCGGCTGAGAGGTCAATTCATCCCTTTCCACCTTCCTCTCTTATTCCTTCTCCTTCAATTCTCTTTTAGGTATTCAAAATGAAATTTGGATGATACTCGTGGCAATTACATTTCTATCTGCAAATCACTCTCACTCTGGCGAAAAGGTCACCACTGTCAACTTATTTATCAGTGCAAATTAATACAATCGTCTGTGTAAATACCATCAAATTTTTACGAATATTTTTATTCATTTAACGATAAAACTTTTATTTTCATAAATCCAAACGATTATTTTCCAATCGACAATTCCATGTACGAGAGGTTCGGTCAGATGTTTTTTAAAATAGTAATAATTAATGCATAAAATAATTAGAAAAATCAAATAAATAAAATAAGCGCCATAAATGGAAAACTAATTTTTATCGTAAAATATGGTACTTCAACTTCTCTGAGAATTTTTTCGATTGTTCTTTCCTTTCGTTTTTTTTTTATAATTTAATTTAATTTAGCTGAGTCTGTCGGCTAAGGAAACGAACTTTCCCAGAGATTCACTTTGAGATAAATTAAATAAGTACCATATAGGTAAGTACCATATAGGTTTATTTTTATCCAAGTGACACCGTTTTAAAGTAGGAGTAATTATTAATCCGTTGAGTCATTTCTCGTTCTATCTCTCATTGATAAATGAACTTATTTCTTTATCAATCCCTCTTATCAGTCTACGAACGATAGTGATTTTCCATTAATGTATTGCTTTATTATGGCGAAATAATTAATGTCGTTGGAATATTAGGTGATTTATCGATATTCAAAACGATTTCTTAATAATGGTACTCACGAATTATCTTCGAAATGATCCGAATAAAATTCAATAGTATTGAGATAAAACAAATGGAAGAGAATTATTAAATGGTATGTTCTGGCTATGAAAGGGCTCAGTTCTTGTCTTTATGTAAACTGAAATCGCGGTCTGGAAAACCCCTATCACACCTACACGCAATTAATTCGTCGACGACAATGAACAGCATAGCCGAACAAAGCTGTGCAAATAATATGCATTGTTCAAGAAAAAAAAAATCATCCTAAATAGTTCCACGAATCACCTGTGGATAGAATCTAAAAAACAAAAATTTCTCCAACAAAAATATTTTTTCGATTTCGCTTTATTTGCTGATAAAATGAACTGATAAGGTATATGAAATGTTAAATTTTATAAAAATTTTTCGATTCTATTCGATCCATTTTTCTTAAGGATTTTTTTAAGGATTTAAAATTTAAGGATTTTTCTCATTTTATAGTTGTTTCGATCAACTAAATATTTATTCAAATATTTGTAAATTATCGATTCTTCCTTAATTCTCTTCATTTTCTCTTCTTTTTCTATTTTTTCTCATCTTTTAAATTTTCGATAATAAATTTTCGTTTAAGTAATTGTAAAAAAAATTTCAAAAAATTATTTTTTTAAAAGGAAAAAATATTTTAGAATTATTTTTTAAAAGATAAATTTTATAAAAACGTCAGCCTTTTGCTTATTTTTCGTTAAAAAATATCGTTGCTATTTGCAGTTATTTATTTATTTGCAATTTAATAATTAATTAATCTAAAATTGTAAAATATTACGTTTTTATTCCATTGATTTCACTATAAAGGAAAATCTATTGTTTTCTCTATTATTTTTCGAGTTTATAGAGGACATTTCAAGGATATTGGGAAAGTTCGTAGATAAGGTGTCAAGGATATTGGGAAAGTTCGTAGATGAGGTGCCAAGGACATCGGGAAAATTCGTAGATGAGTTGCCAAGGATATCGGGAAAGTTCATAGATGGGGTGTCAAGGATATCGGGAAAGTTCGTAGATGGGGCGTCAAGGATATCTGGAAAGTTCATAAATGGGGTGTCAAGGATATCGGGAAAGTTCGTAGATGGGGTGCCAAGGATACCGGCAAAAGTTCGTAGATAAGGTGTCAAGGATATTGGGAAAGTTCATAGATGGGGTGTCAAGGATATCGGGAAAGTTCGTAGATGAGGTGCCAAGAACATCGGGAAAATTCGTAGATGGGTTGCCAAGGATATCGGGAAAGTTCGTAGATGGGGTGTCAAGGGTATCGGGAAAGTTCGTAGATGAGGTGCCAAGAACATCGGGAAAATTCGTAGATGGGTTGCCAAGGATATCGGGAAAGTTCGTAGATGGGGTGTCAAGGATATCGGGAAAGTTCATAGATGGGGTGTCAAGGGTATCGGGAAAGTTCATAGATGGGGTATCAAGGATATCGGGAAAGTTCATAGATGGGGTATCAAGGATATCGGGAAAGTTCATAGATGGGGTGTCAAGGATATCGGGAAAGTTCGTAGATGGGGTGCCAAGGACACCGGCAAAAGTTCGTAGATAAGGTGTCAAGGATATTGGGAAAGTTTGTAGATGGGGTGTCAAGGATATAAGGAAATTTTATAGAGAATATATCTGTTGTAATATTAAATTGCATCCATTAATTTTTATTTTAATTCCATGAAATTTCAGGAATGAATAGATTAGGCTTTTTATGCAAACAAGCAGCAAGCGTAGCATATGGATTACTTCTCGTCGATTTTGCTCATTCAACAGAGCAAAATTATTTCGGAAGACAAGACCTTTCATATGGGTATGGTGCACCGCAGTTGACCGCATTCACTATAGAAGAATGTAGAAAAAAAATACGCGCTTTCATGGTAAATTTATTATTCACCAATTTTCAGAATCTTGCATTAGCTCATTAAGTTCGACGGTGACGGTGATGATAACAGTGAGACTCGATGATGACGGTGGAAAGAAAATGAGATTATAACCAGAAGCAGAATCTTTGATAGTTTCAGGTTCGCAATAACATACCAGGATTGTCTATTGGTGTTTCATTTCAAGGGATTCAATGGACGGAAGGTTTCGGCTATGCTGATCTCGAACAAGAAGTACCATGCTCAAGTGATACCGTAATGCGAATAGCGAGTATTAGTAAATCTATAACATCGGTGATCGCTGCTCGACTAGTCGAAAATGGAATGCTCGATCTTGATGCACCAGTTCAAGTCAATTATTTTTCTAACTATCCCTAGCCGTTTTAGCGTTATTTAAAAGGTATTCTTTAGGCAAAAAAATATAATTATTTCGTTTTTCTAACTTAGAAAAAAAGTTATTATAAGTTTTTAAATGCAAATTTCGAGTAAATTTTATTTAGGAATATCTTAAAGATTATCCAAAACCAAAAATTAACGGTAAAGAAATAGAAATAACGTGTCGACAACTTCTCAATCACACGAGTGGAATTCGACATTATTCCAGGAAGGTTTTTATTCAAATTTTTCTTTTTTGGTTTTATTTCTTTAATAAAAAAAGAGCTGAACGATTCCCGTCGTTCTACTCTTTTACTTACTACAAAGCTTTAATAATAAAAGCAAGTAAAAAAGATGTAAAGCTAAAAGCTGTATTAATGGCTCTTTAAAGCGATTCCTAACTGAGTAAATATGGTACACAAACTTTCTCAGTAGAGTTAAGACCTAAAACACGTAAAAAATACATTAATCTACAAAACCTTTGACAATTTAAACTAAAAAACGAAAAGAAAATTTCAATATTACCTAAATAAGTGGTTGCCAGTCATTAATGAATAAGTAGAGATCATAGTATCATTAATGACTGCTACTAGTCAGGATAAATTAATATGAACAATGATGAAAAGTAATAATTACAAAATTATTTATTAACTGAATTATCTATAAATCAATTATTACTGTTTGATTTTCTCTTGCTTCCTCTTGTAATCGCTTAGAGCTGCTTGAATAGCTTCTTCGGCAAGCACTAGAATTTTTTTCGATTAATTTCGATAAAAATGCGCATTTTTTCATAAGGGCCAGTGTAATTCTTAGCAATGCAACGAAAACAAATAATACTAATTACATTGAATAAAAACAGGAATTCAATCATTGCTTTTTGATTTTGAACATATAATGACCACGAAAAAGAGAAATTCGGACAGCTATTAGGAATTCTAACTACAGTGCTATTCGATATCCGATAGCTTTCCGATATAAAGGACTCATCTTAATAGTTACTGCAACTAGTCACACCTAAAATACTGAGAAATTAGTAACTAACTTGAGCAATGGATTTTAACAGGAGGAAGGCTTAATTCTTTAGCAATTTGATCGTTCTTCACTTTTGCTGCATATTCAGTTGTTTTGCCTTTAATCCATTCTGATGCCAAACTACTCGATGCAATTGCTGAGCCACAACCAAACGTCTTGAATTTAGCATCTATTATTTTACCACTTTCATCAACCTGAAACAATCTATTTGGCTGAATTGAAAATGCTAAATTTTAACTGTTTAGAAAGATCATTCTCGCAGAAATCTTTTGAATAGTCGAAATACTTTTGAAAAAAGAAGCCAACTTAGTAATGCTCATCGGCGAAAGGTATTAATAAAAACCTTAATCTGTAATTTCATCACATCACCGCAAGCCGGCGCACCAACGATTCCTGTGCCAACATTCGGATCATTTTTATCCAACGCTCCAACATTTCGTGGATTCTCGTAATGATCGATAACATTTTTGTGATAACTTACTGATCGCAATATAGATAAGTTCAAAGCGTGAAATAATCTCGTCGACTGTAGTGACATTCTAAATTAATAACTAAGATCATTTCGTCGCTCTTCTACGCCCTTATCGCCCGTAGTAAAATATTGCCATTCACTTTGTCGCTTTTCTACGCCCTTATCGCATTTTTTTCATTTTTTTTTCGTAAAAACTGATTATTTTAAATTATTTTAACATTTAAATCGGAAATTATTGACCTCGGAATTTAAACGTCATTGAATTATTCCCATTTGAAATCAATTTTTGTCTTTTCCCTTTAAAAATTCGAAATAATTTAAAATGACTATTAAATTTCTAATTTTAAAAAAGAAATAAAATAAAATAGGAATGAACTCCCATGAATAATTAAAAAATATATTCACCACAATGCCCGTGCCAAAATGCGGCCGACCCCCCACAAACCTGCCAGCGCAGTCCCCCTCCCCACCAGGGAACCACGGGAATCCGATAAACTCTATACCGCTGCCTACTGCCACAATGGTGAAATTGGCATTCTTGGAAATCGAATGAAATAAATGAGTCAAGTTGTTTACGCAAAATTATCACATGATTGTATATATCGTCCACGATCGACTTATAAGCAATGAAACGACTCAAAGTTCGGTTCTTTTAAGCCATAAACCCGCTAATCCAGATATTTTATTGACTATTTAATGTTAGAATTCTCTCGGCATGAAATCCGTGTGGTATCCGTGTGGTGTGTGGCCGTCCACCTGCATTTGTTTTGTTCAAGTGGCTCCCGTGTGGTACCTGCCTTCTGTCTACATATGTTTTGCCCAACTGATTCAGACAAAGATTGTCCGGTCCGGTAAGGTTGCGGAATTGATCCTAGCCAGAAAAAATAGTAGATGGTGTCGGAAATTGCAGTCTTAGAGATTAAAGTTTATATTCCTATAATTCATTTATTTATCTATAAAAAATGAAATGATAGGCATTATAGTTGAAATAGACTTTTCGGTGAAATTAATCACCATAAGTACCAGTCACTTAAGTTTACGATTTAAAAAACCAGATAAAATTAAAAAAAAATAAGGATTATGCCGAGTATATCAGAGATTATCTCTGTGTATCTTTTTCGAGCATTATGGTGGTGCTTTATCGTGGTAATAGTGAACATTTTATTAGAAGGTCCAAATAGTACTAGGGATTTCCCGATTTTATAATTTCTGCACCTAAATGGCCCTCCACCAAAAATTCCCTCATAACTATTAGCACTCGAATGAGCCTCTAATGAGAAATAGTCAATTTTAATTAAAAAATATTTTGGTATTGATAATGATAATGATATTAATAATGATATTAATAATGATAATGATATTAAATGATATAAAGAAAAGATAAATTTTTGTGATGATTGAAAAAAGGTCATTTATAAAGGTCTTGGAAAAATTTATATTCAAATTCATTTCTCAGATTTCACCATTTCTCACTTAAGTGGAACCTCTGGCCTGTTAGAATTGTCTTTTTCCGGTGTCACAAATCGCATGGGAACCATACGTGGATGCTCAGCACACATCGCCGCTTAGCGGGTCCCCTTTTTTCTAAAAAATTTAATTTATGGTTTAGAATTTTCGATATGAATAATGGCAATGAAATCCATTATAAATAGCCCACATAAATAGCAAAAAAATGGAAAAATGCGATTGAATAAATTGGAAAAGGTCACAAAAGCCAGAGAATTATCATACTTACTTGTCTAAGTAATGACGACAATAATGAAAATAAAGGGGAGAATAATGAAAGGTGAGAAAGAATCACAACGCGGGGTCACAGCGTAGAGTTGCAACGCGAAAGGTCAAGGTTTGGCAGATTTCATCATAACTTATAATGATTTTTATAATTTAGTAAATAATTATTTAATATTTTTTAAAATTGTGAATCCACGAATATTTTTGTTTTCTTATCACTTTTTATATTTCCTTTTCGTCATCATTTTCGCCATACTTTTTTTATTTTTTTATTTCAATTTTATTTTTCTCATTTTTATAATTTTATTTTTGTCCTTTAAAAAAATGATAAATGATATAAAAAAAAATTTTCACAAAAAAAATACAAAACTTTTTGTTTTTAAAAGAATTAATTCGAGAAGTGGGAAATGATTTTCTGAAGTTTTTTAAAATTTAAGGTATTTTGCGAGCAAACGAATAATTTATTGGATATTCACGAAACGAAGCGAAAAAATCAAAATGAGGCACCGAATTCGAAAGTTGCACCAACTAATCAAATCGACGAAACCACCATGAACAGTCGTTCACCACTGAAAGGTACTAAGGAGAATTTTAAGTATTCATCGTCGTCGCCAACTTTAGCTGAACCATTGTTCGAAATAGAAAAAGGTGCATCGTCCAGCGGATCATCGACACTCTCTCATTCAGCATCGAATCCATCATTCGTCTCTTCGTCACCGCCACAACAACGACAAAAAAGTACAATGGAAAAAACGAATGAAATGTATCAATTGAAGAATTATAACGACGTAGCGGAAGCGTTGACACTTTTTCAGAATGATGAACTGGTTGTTGAACCTGGCAATTTTTATTATTCAACTCATGGTTTCACGTTACTAAGTGCAGTTATGGAAAAGGTCGCAGGTCAACCATTTAAAACACAACTTCTAAATTTTTTTAGGGAAATTGGTATGAACCATTCTTATGTTGATGAGAATCAACCAATAATATCTAAACGCTGCAGGTTTGGTTTGAATTAATTCATATTAAATTTTATCATTTTTTATATTTTATCATTTATCATTCTATCATTCTTATTTTTCTTATCTGCCTTATTAGTCTTTCTATGCCTTAAAATCTTAAAATTATGCGTTTTTTGAAAAATTCCCGATAATAAAAAATTTATATTTTTATTTTCTGCAAATGAAAATTTAATATAACTAAGCGGAATTTGTGATTTTATCATTTATAAAAGACTGATAACGTTCTTTTCATTTTTTGATTCAAAAAGAGTTAACTATTGCTCTTGCGGATAGAAAGGCTTAGTAGGTTTTTGTTCAGTTCGGAGCGCCGACCTTAAGGTTCCCCGCAGGAGCAAACCTTTCCAGAAACCCGGATGATGCTGGCGACTCATCTGTACTTCTATAGCCGAGGGATTCTCTAGCATATTTGTCCAGTGTAACAGCAAACCGAGTTTAACCAGTAATGGTGAAGACTGTTTAAAAAAATTGTTGCTCATGAGGCTCGCCCCGCTAGATAAGTTACCAGCATTATCCTATTTATATCATATCGAATTCCCTATTGCCCCATGTATAATTATACTAGGTAACCCCACATGGCAAAACTATATTTAAAAAGATTAATTTTTAGTAGCTCTCATTAGAGTTTCGGACGATTCATCACGCGAAAAATATTTTAAGAGTTTGAATTGTATAAATTTTTTTATGGATTAAAAAAATTTTTGCAAATATCAAACGATAAATTAAAATCTTAAATAAAAATATAAAATTAAATTTAAAAAACTAATAAATATAATTTATTTCTTTTATAGTTTATATTTTATGTCCTATATAAATATAATTAAAATTAAATAATAATATAAAAATAAAATATAATATAAAATAAAATATAAAAATAAAGTTAAGTAAAGTTAATAAAATAAATTAAAGGTATTACGAGTTTGATAAAGTGAAGCAAAAACTGGTAAATGCTCCCGAAGTTAACAATTCCTATAAATTAGCTGGCGGTGGAATTCTATCGAATGTTAGAGACTTACTTCTCTTTGCAAATGCCATCCTCTATAGGTAACTCTTTTTCCCATACTTTTTCGTGGAACCTTTCGTGGAACCTTTTTTTTCATTTATTTTATTTTTTTTAGATTTATATTCATTTAATTTCAATTAATTTTAAGAGTAATAATAAAATAAAATAAGTTAAGAGAGATGCTATTCATTTAAAACTGAAAAAACGAACGACAACACATTTGCCAAAACATGCCGAAATCAAATTAAATTTATGGATATTTTTTATGGATATTTTTGGATATTTTGGAAATAATTTCTTCATTTTCAAAGGAAGAATATTATTATATAAGGAAACGAATAATTCGTCTATTCTAACTTTACTTCGTATTACTTCAAAGAAAAGAGGGATTAAGAAAAGTAACCGTGAGAGTTATTAAAAGTGAAATCTCGGTTCGAGAAATTCAGCTTCTCGACGTCCAACTCTAGTGGACCTTTATTTTATGCAACAAAAGAATATCTCAAATTAGCCTAATTAGTGAATAAAATAAAATTTTGCTAGAAATAGAATCTAATATTTCTTAAATAAATATTTAGCTATAAATATTCGGACGATTTAAAAATGCCGAAAGGACTGCTCAAATCTTCAACTATCAAATCGATGTGGCAATACAATTTAACAAAAAATTATAAAAAACAAAAGAGTTATTATGGCCTTGGATGGCGCATTGTTCCAAGCTCAAAGACAATCGGAGGAAATACGGAATGTTTTAAGCGCAGCGGCTGTTATTTACATACTGGTTCAGCAGTTGGTGCAAATTCAATTTTACTTATCAAACCTTACCCGGACGACACTTCAAACGCTTATGGCTCTTGTATTGTTATTTTAGTGAATCGTAGTTCTTTTGCGGAATCGCTTGAAGATCTGGCATTTGACATACTCGAAACTCTTGAATTTGATTCCAGTATTATCCGAAGAGGATATTTTTTTATTTAGCTTCACTCTCTCTAAAAAAATCTATTAACAATTTTTCGCGAGAAAATATTTTATTGATAAAAATTTCAATTCTTCCAACCACAACAATAACAAATTCGTGTTTTTTTCACAAACAACCACGAAAAGAAAATGATAAATAAATTAAACAATCATTGGAGAAAATGATATATAAGGATTGTTTTTTGCAAAAAATGATACAAATGAAACAAAAACAAAGAAAAAAATAGATGAAATGAAAAACAATAAGATGGAAATTCAATGGGTAAAAATATAGCGAAAAAATTATATAATTTGATAAACCTTCAGTAGTCCTCGATTTTTACAAAGGGGAACAGATTCCAAAAAAAAAGAACTAAAGAATCAAATAAAACAAATATTGACACAAATTTAAACCAATATACTTGAAAATAATAAAATCATTTTATGTTAAGAATTTCATCACGAAAGAATTTAACTGCTCAACAATATGACCTAATTTAAATCCGTCGAAAATAAACTAATAAATCACGATTCGACAAATAATAACAAAAAAAATTGATAAAACATTCAAGATAAGCATGTAAAGATTTCAGATTTCTTATCATAATTGATGCTTTTTTAAGAGCTAAGAAATCTTTGAAAAACTCCAGCTGATAAAATAATGGTTATCTCTGATTTAAAAAAAGCTAGTTAATAGCAATGGGGCCAATATTTAGCTAAACATCCTTTACTTTTTTTGTTCAAGTATAAATTTTTTTAGATAAGAATTTAAATATGATCAAATATCAAAAAAAATGATATTAAAAAAATTTGATCCTATATCTATGGCTATTTAAAATAACTTTAAACATGGTCAATTGTTAAACGACAATATTTTATAGGAACGTTATAAAATTTTAATTCATCAGAAAATGAGCCAAGTGTCTGATTCATTATCCCAAATAAATAAAAATTTTACTTTAAAGATTCACAATTCTGACAAATTTTGTATTTGAGAAAATCCTTAATTTCACCTAAATTATAAAATTACGAATTTAAAATTAAAAAAAACATGATCTACCTTATCGAACATCGGAACTGCAAAATAAATTCTGCAATAAAAATAATTTCAAAAATATTGCGTACTAACTTTTAAGTTAGTTCGTTTTCTTTCTGATGCGATTACCATTTTCTGACGGATTCTGAAAAAAAAGTCACAGTTGGTAAATTTTGTGGAAAATAATAAATCGTGCTTTGAAAATTGAATCGAAATCTTTCCTCAAAATTAATCGAATTCTTTAAAAAAACAATATAAATCCCTCATTCTCTGTAGTCATCTTATTAATCATCTTCAAACTCGGATCTCCTTTACCACAGGTCTTGAGAGATATGTGCAGTATCTTATATGTATTTAGCAGTACGCCTAGTAATTTGAAATTAAGGATACCACTTTGACTACTTTGATTTTCACTTCTCACATCTTCTCCAATCCATGTTTTAGCTCCACGTTCTCATATTTTTCTGAGTTTTCATATTTCATATTTCCAGTGCTAATTTCTAGTTCTTTTCTATAAACAAATCGAATCTCAGCATCGGCTCTTCCAACTAAGCAACAACCCACTCAGCTATTCTATCTATTCTATTCCCTGCATGCTTCATCCTTGTATATAAAATCTTTTTCTCATCTTTTATAGGTGGTAAAGATTATCCTCAATCTCAGATCCCCTACCAGAGATCTGGGAGTCTGAGGGCTCTTTGTAATATTTTAGCTGTTTTTAATAGTGCGTTCTTCTGGATAGAGATCTCTGGTATTGTTCCCAGAACCAGCTAAGACCACTTTTCAAGGTTGGAGATCAAAATTGTTCCAATTGCTGGAATTAGTTTGGCCTTTACATATTTTCTCTAGTTCCTTTTTAATTTCCCATGGCATTTCTCTGACTTCTCATATTTCTTCTTCCTGTTACATGGTATATCTACCATCAGTGCTGGTTTCTGATTCTTGTCTATTACCATGATATCTGGTTGATTACTAATACATGTTTGTCTAGATGGTGAAGTCCCACAAGATCTTCGCTTCATTATTCTCCGATTTTCTGAAGAATCTCCTAGTCTTGAGACAGCATAAGCCATATATTCGGCCGATATACCTGTAAATGATGCCAGCTACTCGTTATTCAGTGTACGTTGTTCCTGCTTGCAACCTGTTGCTATGAGTTGGACTATTTCTGAGGCATTCTTCTGAGGCACAATTTACACCTGGATCCCTATCCAATGGTAGATCTGGTGTTTAGTACCTGTTTTTGTGCTATGAATAAGGAAAAATCGAGGAAAAAACTGAATCAGAATAAATTTACTTTGCCGTTAGCAAGCTTTTTCTTCTTAGGGTGAACGCGTGGTCTCTCCGTTTTTGGCTTATTATATTTTTCACGATAGCGACGCACATGGAACAAAGTAAAATTCCATAACATATAAAGCTGCAGAGTGATTACACAAATCATACTATTAAGCCTAAAATAAATATTTGGCAATAAATCTTTGCTATTTCAACTACTTTTATAAATGCCATGCCGCAATAATTTTCTTGTTTACGTTTTAGATTCTAAATTCTTTTAAATTCTAAAATCAAAGCTTTTAACCAAGCTGCAAACAAAGTCAAACAAGCTGAATTTTCCTCTGGGAAAAAAATCAGACCTGATAAATGCCGTATTAAAATTTCCATTTATAGGGTCCATATAAGGAGTTTCATTAGAACGCAAACCATACCATAAGGTCAACACCGTTATGACAGCACTCATTAGCCGCACTATTACAAATACGATGTTCCATATCTTGAACCTAAATAGTAGTGTGATAATTAAATGCAAAAGGAGTAAATAAAATTTCAGAATTGAAAGTTCAAATCAAACTATAGACGGATAAAAAATTTTTGAAAACAGTAGCGCAGAGCTATCGTCTTGATTCTATAAATGAGAGAAAAATTACCCATGCTTAGCGACTGCCCATTTTTCTGCAAAATGGAAAAGACGAGTCAAGTGAAAAACACATTGAGAAATATATTCCAGGAAAAGTAATGTAAGCGCAAGACGGTTGAAGCTGAAAATGAAAATATTAGAGTTAAATGCTAATAATCAGAAAAAATTATTTCTTTGATAAAAAACTGAATATTTAAGCAATTCAGACAAGAATAAACAATGAAAACATAAATTTTCTGGAATTTTTTCTTCATCTAATTTCTTTATCCATAAAAAGATACTTTAGAATATAGGCAGCGATAGTGAAAAATAAAAATATTATAGAATAGATTATACGAGGTTGCACATCATCCTTGCGAACTTTTTGGAAATAAAACTCTGGAAACTGATGGACCCAATAAGCAATCTATAACGAAAACATACTGATGGAAATTATTTGATTCACAGTTCCTAATTTTTTTACATTACAATTTGAGATAAGAAAATTCAAAATAGAAAAAAATATACCTGTAAAATAAAGAAAAATTTTAGTTGGAGAGTCAAATAACGATGAACTTCCGGGTATCCAATCCATAACTTCGTAAGATCGGTGTGTACACGTAATTCATGCAATATGTAACCTTGGAAAAATGAAAATAAATAATGAACATTTATTTTAAAAAATTGACAAAAATGCAATAGTATTCCAAAAAAATATCGCCATCTGAATTTAATAAGATCCAAGTTTTTTTTAAATTTTTTTAAAAGTAATTTTGTCCTAAATTGCCAGAATGAAAAATCGGTATATTACACAATAAAATTACGTAATAAAACTAACCACTATGTATTGCTGAATATAAAGAAAATACGAAAAGTTGGCCGGATTCAGCAAATTTACTCATTTTTGTTTTACTCAAGTGCAATTTTCTTTGCAATTTATCGAAAATATATTCTTGCAAAACTGCATGCAAAGTAATCCACGCAATAGTATAAAAAAAAACGGCACCGATGTCTTTTAATCCTGTTCGATAATATTGTTGGGGGGCTAAAAATAAAATATTAATAGAATAACAAAAAAATAAATAAAACTGCAAAAAAAAAGACAAAAGTTGCTAAAAATTCAAAAAACTGAAGGTATCTAAGAAAATACTAAAAATATTTTTAAAAAAAACCTGAATCTGCAGCAACAGAGATTGTTTCGTTATACTGAGGGACAATAAAAATGCTAGCAAAAGCCGTAGTTCCCTGAAAAGCAAATAATAGAAAAATAGTCCTATACGTCGTAGAATAGCAAATAAATTAATTTATATATAGAAAATGTGAAAATGCAAATAAAATATTTTAAAACCTCCAAAAAATAGCTATTATAAAGAAAATAATTTAAACTTCACAAGACAAAAATCATTCAAACGTATTTGTTTATAAAAATTAAAATAGTCCTCCTATACAACGGATAAATCAGTCCTATAAATCGAAGCTGAATAGGCCAAAGCTTAATCTAGGCCGAGCCATATAATCGGAATGCTAATATTACTAATTAATAAAGAAGAACGAAAATTTGACTAACTTGAAAAATAAGACCAACGATAAAAATCATTAAAATGCATGACATAATATCGCCATGATTTTGTATAATAAATTCATGCGAAAAAATTGGAGGAGAATTTTTTTTTGTTCGTCCACCCATAACTCGTCGTAGTTCAACCATTTTTAAAAATATTCTCTGAACAAATTAAATAATTTCAATTATTTTTAAATAATTTGAAATTAAATCAACAGAAAAATCGATAAAACCAATAATCGTTTTAATTCAAATAAAATATAAATTAAATTAAAAAATCGATAGAGAAATTTTTAGTAAAGAAGAAAAATAATTTATAATAAAAAATTTTAAAAAATTAAAAAATAAAATGAATAAAAATGTTTTTGAAAAAAAAGAGCTAATTTTTTTCCCATTTGCGCTAATAATTATTCGTTTTAATATGAAATTTGAAAAAGAACGGTTTTTTAAAAAAATTAATTTCGACTGCTTCACTACTAATATTTATATTGTTAACGAGAATGTAGGAAGAGAGTGAGCGGTTTAAGCGATGCGAAAACAAGTGAAATAATTTCCAATATGGCGATAGGCTCATCGAAGACTTGGACGAGCCAAGTAGTCTTCGCCTGGAAGAGGCGCCGGGAAAGAGCCAAGCAGAACGAATCGCTCAAAAGCGAAAAAAATACGATAAACAATAAAAATTATAAAAATAATTTTTATAATTTTTTTTGCAATAAAATTTATAAATTTTTAATTTTTATAATTTTAAAAATCATTGAAAAAATAAAAAAATTTTAATTATTAATATTTCAGCGAAAAAAACGATTTAAAATAATTTGGAAAATTTAAATTAAAATTTTAAAAGAATTTTAAACGAAATTTTTTTTTCTTTTTTCTAAACTCACAAATTTTTAAAATTTTCTTCTATTTTATTTAAATAAATAATTTTTAGAAAAATTAAAGAAATATTTTTAAAACAATGAAAAAAATGAGCAAAAATTCGAAATATTCGCCTTTCGTCGTTCGTCGCCGTCGTCGTTGCCATCGCAAATTTGCAGTTCGTTTACGGTAAAATGAAAGGAAACTCGCGCCAAATTTAAATTTGGGTTTTCGTCTAAAAATAAGTATTTTCGAGCAAAAATTGCAAATAAATTTAGCAAATTTATTTTCAATGATTTAATAATTTAAAGGATATTTTTAAAAGTGTTTTGCAATTTTAAGGGTGTTTTTTGGCAATTTCAAGGGTGTTTTTTGACAATTTTAAAGGTGTTTTTTGACAATTTTAGGGATGTTTTGATAATTTTAATGATATTTTTGGCATTTTAAGGCGCATTTATTTTTACTTAGCATTATTTTTTGCGAAACATTCGAGTGAAGTTTTGTGTTTTTTAAGCAAATTGTTTTTTATATGGCGAATATTATATTTTGCAAACGTTAAGAATGGCATCAAAAAAATATCAACACTTAGCAATATTTTTATGCTATTTTTGTCAAAAATAAATTTAGCTATGTCAAATAACAAAATAATGTTTTCGACATTATCGATGCAAAATAGTTAAATTTGCTGTTTGTGTTGTGAAGCGACGAAAGCAAAAGAAGTAGAAAATAGAACTTGAACCAACAGCTAGCGATTTGGCAACAAATTATTTCGATCAGTGGAGAGGAATTGACAGGGCAGTTTTCCCGAGTTCAATCGCTCAGTGGGTTGTTGCTCAATTGGGAACGCCGATGCTGAGGTTCGATGATTCCCTGCAGGAACAAACCGGTTCAAAAATCCGGGTGGGTGGCTACTCATCTGTATTTTTATCGCCAAAGGACTCCCTGGCATATTGCCAATGTGATAAGCCAGTGGAGCGATTTTAACCAGTAATGGTGAGGACTCTTAATGGCCTGCCAAAATAGCGAATAGCGAAAGTGGAGCGATTTTAACCAGTAATGGTGAGGACTCTTAATGGCCTGCCAAAATAGCGAATTAGATGTCTATGATGGCTTAGTGATATAGAAACTCCAAGGGAGCCAAGAAGGGGTGGGAAGTGGACCGACCCACCAAAAGTCGTCTTTTGCCGTTTCGCGACAATCTGTAATGAAATTTGATAATTTAAAACTGAACTTTATATAAAATATAAAATTTTTGAAAATTTTTTGACGATAATATTTCATAATATAAGTCAAAATTGAGATTTTTATCATTCATTAATCAATCTCTAAAAAATCAATTATTCGAAATAAAATAGATTAACCAATGTATATTTCTAAATTAATAATTATTTATTTATTTATAAATAAAATTTTATATTCATCGGTTGGTAATTTTGTTTATTTTTAGCTAAGAAATATTGTTATTCATATCTTTTTGCTAAATTAAATTGTGTAAATTATCAATGTGTAAGCAAAAAGATATGAATGGGAGATAATACTATCAGTTGCGATTATTTTGCGGCATATCAGATTTAAACTAAACAAATTTCAATAAATAAATTTCAATAATTTATTGCTAATTCTCTGTAAAAACTCTGCTATTTAGATAAGGTAATATTTAAGTTCGTTGATAATAACCAATGAACTTTTATATGAAAAATTACCAAAGCGTTATCAAAATTATCAAATCTATGCATAGCTTTGAGTAAAAATGTATAGGTATTTATTTGATTGGTCATATATTATAAAAATTAGCTAAAATTTAAAAAATGATTTCTGTACGGATAATGAACGATTAGAATCTATAGTTATATGAAATAAAATCGTTTATTAAAATATTAGCAAAATATTTTAATACTTATCGAATATATCAATTTTATCAAAATTTTATCACTGATCGCTATTATTATCAATGTTTAGAATGATTTGATCCTTAAGACCAAAAAATTTTATTTTACTTCTTATATAACGCCAAAATAATGCACGATTTTTAAATTTTCATTTTTTATTATAGATATTATATTTTTATATTAATTATATAATTATAAATATTTTAATTATATTGCAAAATATTTGTTGCTGATTTTCATTGAAATATTTGCAAACAATCCCTATATATCAATATAATTTATTATTCGAATATTATCTGTTTTATTTATATTTATTATAGAAATATTTTACTTTTTTTCTTGGGGAATTTTAAAAATTTTACGATATTTTTAATACTTTTAATACTTTTTTTAATTAAAGGAATTTTTAATTAAACTCCTTCGCAAAGTACCTCAAAAAAACACCTCTGTAACGATAAGGTTCAGAATGTTTTATTGGTTTATTTCGTTAACTTCTTAGTTAAAAAATTATCATAGAGAAGCATAAGTATGAAATTTAGAAATATGAAGAAAACAACTGTTTGGCTGAGATTGGCTGATCATTGGCTGAGTGTTGTACAACGTTCCCACTTGAGACCATTTCTGTAATTTTTGCTTCACTGGGATTGTTGACTTTCATTTTTGGCCTAATGAATCGTGTTTTATTCATTTCTGAATATAACTCTTAGGAATTCTTAATTTTTAATTAGCATTTATTTCAATATTCGTAAAATTTCCAAAAATTTTCTAATGAAATAATAATTTAATAATTATTTTGATTTAAAAATAAATTTTAAAATTTTGCGAAGGAAAATTTTAACGTAAAAAATTAATTTTAATAAAATTTTATTTGTGCCTCGTTTTGAATATTTAAGAAAATTCGTGAAAAATTTTCAATTAATTTTTTAAAAATGTTTTTTTTTTTTAAATTTATTCTTTCCGATTTTTATAGTTATCGTAAAGTTCTAAATTTTTTTCTTTCATTCACTTTCATTTTTATTTTCTCTAATTTTTAGATAAATAAATTTTTTTATGAATTACAACAATAAAAAAGTGATTTATTTTTTAAATAATTATTTTTTTCTAAATTAATTAGTTTCGTTAAACGAACGCTTAACGATTAAACGTTTTGTAAGATATGAGATGGCTTTCGTTTGATTTGCAGTGGAATAATCGAATGAAATGAGCGATTCTAAAATAGAAATTTTATAAATTTTAATTTTTATTAATAAATTTATTAATTAAAATTAAAAAATTAATTTATTTTTATTAATAAATTTTTTTAAATAAAAGTGCTTTCGTGGTACTTTTTTTTCGCAAAAAATTTTTTTATGCTTAAATTGGTTGATTTATAAGATTGTCTTTCGTGGTGCTTCGGTGAGTGTTCTCAGTCTCTTCTTTTTCTAAACATTTCAAAATAGTTATTTGCATTTGTATTAGTTGATTTGAACGAAAAAATTTTATTTCTGAAGGATTTTTCCCCCTTTGTTCCGATGGCTCGCGGATATTCGAAATGATTCCAACCGATCGCATTCCAGATGGCAATTTCAGCTTTTTTGCATCATTTTCATTAATTTTCTTCATCTGCACAATCATCTGTGCATATTTCAAAATGTCAAAAAATATTGCTTTTGTAACAAATGCTTTTTTTTTGTTGATTATTTATTTGAAGTAGCCAAAAGCAAAAGCGACAAGTTATGATTTATGGATGCATAAAATTTTCAGTTTCTATCAAAATCCATTCGAATAATTTGAATAAAATTTATGAAAAACTATGAAAAATCTATAGAAATTTATCAATTATGAGATAATTGATAATTGATATAAAATAGTGAAATTTCGGAAAAAATAAAAAGTGCAAAAATTACTTTTCTATATCTTCTATTTTATATTATATACATATTTTAGCCAATATTTTTGGCTATTAAAGTGAGATTTTTTTACTAGAAAATTTCGGAAAGTATAAAGGTATAGGGCGATTGCAATTGCATTATTGATAGATAATTCCTTTCTGATAATTTTCTCCGATAATTCTCTCTGATAATCTGATAATTTCAAAGATGATAATTTCAAGTTGAACATCAATAAGAGTTTTGATTCTTTTTTTTTAAATTTTTTAGCAAATTTTTTTCTTGATCATTTGATTGATTTTATTTTTTTGAAAATATAATATGAAATAGTCGACTTCATTAACGTCGATTATGGTCAGGGGAAGTAAGTTGGAATTGAATCGATCCTCCTGGATGCCCAGCATTATCTACCTTATAACTCTAATGATGAAAGAATCTTAAGTTGCCAATTTAGGCAAATTAGAAACAGTGGGCACTTATGAAAAATTTTTGGTGTTTTTATATTTGCTCCTTGGTGATACAAATCAGGTGACTAGCCAGTATCATCAAGAAATTCGAAGAATAAATTTAGTCTTTCTCTATCGGAAATCTCAATGTTGGCATTCTCAAGCAATAGCCCACTGAACCATTCTATTTTGGTTTCTCCGCAATGCAGCACTATCCCGGATTCGAATCTAAACCCCAATTCTCTCCGACATTATATAAGAGAAGGACATTAATTTAGAATTAAAAACTATTTTTTATTATCTTCGTCATATCTTTAAATGAAGTCCAGTTAATGCTCTAATTATAAAACTATTTCATGTATTATAAATTACAATTCTCGTATGAATTATTATGCGACTATCATTATTAACTTAAGGCAATTTCGCTAGCGAATCCTTTAGGGATCGGAAATACGGGTGGATCGACCCGAGCGCTACTCAGATTTCTTAATAATACATACTTTTGGTAGAAACAAGCGATTCGTAGCATTTGAACTGATAATCTAGATAATAGAACAATTGGGTATATCACCAGTGAACTTTTTTTTTTAAGATTCCTTGCTATTACTGGTTAAACTCGCTGCGCTGATTTCTCGCACTGGACAAATATGCCAAGTAGTCCATCGGCGCAAGAAGTAGATAAGTCGCCGCCAGCATCACCCGGATTTTTGGACAGGTTTACTCCTGCAGGGAATCATCGAACCTCAGCATCGGCGCTCCGAATTGAGCAATAGCTCATTGAGCCGTTCTATTTCGATGGGATTATTAGATTCAGTTATACATTACCAATGTGAAATAAAGTAATTTTGATTATTTTCAGTCTATCAATTACAAATACTCCATAGAATATACATATATTAAGATTCAATGAACATATAAAACATACGTCCGATTAAAAATTCTGGAAATGAAATATATGCGAAACGTTAGATTGCGTTAGAAATAAATTTGATAGCCTAAACTATAGAATTATTGTTACAATTGATAAGATAACTGATAAACTGCAATGAAATTCACTATTAATGATATTTGAGCAAAAATCCAGAATAGATACTAGAAGCAAATTAAAATAAAAATTTGGAGCCATTCATTCAATATTCAACTGGAACATAGCTTAAATACAAGAAAATATGACAATAATCAACATCGTCCGCATGATCTCCTACAAGATAATTTCATAAATCGGCTATCACTTTTGCATTCACCAATCTTCTCCCAGTAGCCACAAAATAGATTTTCATCAAGGCATTCCTCTGACTGCTTTAATATTTCATTTAATTTTTCTAAAAAAATTGATATTTTGTAAAATTTGAGAATTTTTCTTTTCGTTTAAAAAACTAGTAAAGTAAAAATCGAGAAGCCAACTATACTAATCTAAGACTCGATGGTGAAAAAAAGTTACCTTAATGGCCAATGGCATCAACCAATCGTATGTGCTAATTAAGAAAAATAGTTGATAGAAAAACGTTGATCACAAAAATGTGATAAGAATTATTTCTTATAAAATCTGGTTGCAGAGATTTGAAAAGTTGGTTTTCGCCTAACAAGACCGTCGACATTTGCATTATTTCTTCGTCAACTTGTTTCTCAAATCCTTGTAGCCTATCGGTATAGGTATATAGGTGTTTTTTCTATAGGGGCTCGTTTTTTCGATAACCGCATCGAAGGAACCTTTGAAACAGATATTAGGGCCTCAACTGGCTTAGTTCTTAGTATAGTAAGAAATTTTTACCACGGAACCTCTAAGCGACAGAAATATAGGTGAATGGTTAGGGTCAAAATGGGTTACACGAACAAGATAAGAACCCTTATCTCCCAACATGGTAAACTAACTCACTGGGCTAACCACTGGATTAATTTGCCTTTAAATATATTTAAAATGAGCATATTTTTGAAACAAAATATTACAAATAAATTTTTTTTAACTAATGACAAACTTTCTTTTTCATGGCAAAGTTGACAGGATTTTTTACAATAATAGTTCATGTATTTAGCCGAATAGTTGCAATGGCCGAGCTCTTCCCACATTTCACAATGCGAATTTAAATCTTCACATACTAAAAATTAATAGATTTTTTTTAATTTCAATAGTTTTTAATGTTAAAAAAATTTAATAAATTTTAATTTTTATATAAAAATTTCTAAAAATCGAAAAATTTTTAATAAAAATTTCATAAAAATTCATAAAAATTCTTCGTCTTATAAATTAAATAAACCAAATTTCTGTTGGTTGTTTGTTAAATTTTAAGGCGAATTTATTTACTCAACTTTTGCTTCATCTTTAATTTATACATGGTAGAAATACGAATAAACCTTCAGGCGATTTGTCTGTATTCGTCTTTCCAGTAGTTCTCTCCTTAGGAACTTTAGCGGTTGTCGTAGTTGCTATCGTCTTTGAAATAATCCGAGGTGTTGTTAATTTTTCTCGCATTATTTTCGTCCACCAGTGTGGCGTTCTTGATGGTCGAATTGTTGAAATTGATTTTTTCGTTGTTTGTTTTTGATAATTTGTTGTTTTTGATGAATCGCTGCACTGATATAATTTGTTAATTTTAAGGGCATCGATCGTACTAAGTTTATAACGTTGTCCAATCTCCGCGTTTTCATCCTGCATTATTATGATAATTTTTGGTAAATCTGATAAATCTGATAAAAGAAAAGAAGAAAAATCTAGGATTGCTGCTATAACATAGGTATAAGCTAAGTTAAATTTTTTTTTAGATTTAAATAAATTAGTTAAAATGAATTTCTATTTCTATATAATTTCTATAGTAATCAGAATTTATGGAAACGATTATTGGATGTTTAGACAAATTTAGAAATAATAGCAGAGTAGTATACTTTTGGTAGTATTGTTGCCTTTCCATTCTTAGAGAATGCTAGTTTATGATAATGCATAACTGAATCGTAATCATATGGCATATTAAGAGGATCGATCACTTTTTTTGGATATTTCTCAAAATTTCGTAGCATACCTAAAAAGCGAAGCAAACATTATTAGAAAATCAAATAAAATCATGGATTTGACTAATCCATGATCCATATGAACCATAATTGAAATATAGATCATAATTTGTTCATTTGTGACACATCTGACTTAGTCGGCTTAAATCCATTTAGAATTTTTTATGCCTATGTGGTACTTTAATTAAATTGACCTGTCTGATATTCATAATAAAAAAAATAAGCAAACCAGTTCGGATATTGTCCTCATTAATATAAACATATTTGTCTCGATCAGTTCTCGAATGTTCATGGAAAAATCCGATTGCATGCATTAATTCATGCGCTATTACTCCTTTTTTAAAGCATTTTTCAATTTCTAAGGAAACCGTTTGATTGCCACCAGCACGACCAACAAATGACGAACATCTAAATTATCTATTGTATTATATCTATTGTATTATAAAAATCCAAAATATATAAATATATATTAGTTCTGAAGAGGGATCGACTAGCGTGACAAACCCAAATGCATTATTTTTTCGTATATATACATAATCGTTATCATCGATCTGCTTTGGCACGAATCGTATGCATGTCTTCTTTTTGTACTCATCGAATGCTTGTGCGATTGCTGCTCGTTGCCTAAATTTTTATCAAATTGTTAATAATTGATCGATGAGTTGATAAGAATAATTTTTTAGTTGAAATATTTGAAGAAAAATTTTTGTTATGAAAGCAAAAAAAAAAATCGCTTAAAAAAATTGCGATAAAATATGATAAAATCTTTTTTGAAATATTTTATAATTTCATCTTTTTCAATCGTTTAAAAAAAAAAAAAACTAGAAAATTTTTTTGGACAAATAAAATAAGGTGACCAACTCAAAATCTAAACCATTCTCCAACATATATGGAATTCGTCCATTTGGCCACAATTTGTTCGGATAAGTTACCAAATTTATTGCGCTATAGTACTAAAAATATTTTCAATTTTAAGGAATGAGTTGATAAATTTTTCTTTCTTAAATATTTTTAATTTAATGAATTAATGCTAGAATTTTATAGCACTAAAAATTGAAGAATTAGTTTGAAAAATTCTCTACAAAAGAATTCGGAAAAATGAAAAATGACGAAAAAACGGATATTATACTGGATGATTGAAGATGTCTTCGTCGGTCGCGTCGACCGGCTCGTCTCTTAATAAAATTTGATCGTCTATTCCAGCAATATCCCCTTCAAACAATAAAGGGTTTTGTAAATCGTTCATCTCTTCTTCACTCGGTTTTTTCACTAAAATAGCTTTTAGCTTTTTTTTTTCACGAATAAATCTCAAATATTTTCAAATATTCCAATTTTCCTTTATTGAAATAAACTTATTTTTGATATTTTTGATATACTTACAAGTTAAGTATAATATTTTGTAATATATATATTTTTTAATATATATTTTTATAATATTTTCCATCATTTTAAATTAACATTTAAAATGATAATGGCAATTTTCTAAAATGAGCGAAAAAAACTGGTTGGATTGGATTATTACCTGGCGTGTTTGCTGCAAGAAGAAAATCGGAGGGTTGTAAAAATTTTTCAGCATTATCTGAAACTGATTTTTCGAAGTTTTATTAAAACTAATTGACTGATTAATTTTTCATTTGATAGATGAAATAAAATTTGTATTGATACTCGACTGCTAGAAATTTTCGACTTGGCCTACTGCTATCGTACCTCTTTGTCTATCTAAAGCATTCTATCGACTAAAGCGGAAGGTTCACCTTTAATGCCCCCCCCCCTTTCATACTAATCAGCGGAGCGGAGACAAACTAGAATTGGTTGTATTACCAGCAGAAATATGAGAAATTTTCACCTCAAATCATTTGCATTCATATAATAATTTTTATTTGATCTTTTTCGTTAAATTCATTTCTAAAATAATTTTTGAAGAAAAAAATAAAAAATTGTAAAAATCTTTTAAAAACAAATTTTTTTTTTAGTATTTTTATAAGTATTAAAAAAAATTAAAGATTAAATAAAAAAAAGAAAAAATATTTTCACCATCAAAAGTGCGTTTCAGAAATTCGGCATGAATACGTTCCTCACGAAAATTTAATGGTACTGTAAATGGAATAACAATAAATCTAGAATGTAATAAAAAAAAATTAATGACGATAGAGAAGGATTTCATAGGTTCCAAATGAAGAAGAAGAAGAAACCAATGAAATGACCAGAGAGTGACCACAATAATAAAAATTAACCGTGAGGTGAGGATTTTAAAAGACTGGTCTCATTTTTATTGTCACTGTTCAAATAAACAAATCGTTTATTTCTGAAAATGTTCGTTGTGTGTGCTTGACTTGTCTTATGTTATATGTTTGCCAACGATGATCTTGTGGTCAGTCATCATTTCACAAAATATTATTGTTGGTCATCACAAGATCTTGTGGTCAATCATCATCTTAAAGTATTATTATTGGTTCACAATCACAATCATTATTGTCACCAATATTGTTATCATCAACATTATTATCACCAATATCGTTATCATCAACATTATTGTCACTAAAATCATTTCTTTTTTTCGATTATTTTTTATCATATTGGTCTCAAATATATAAATAAATATAAATATAAATCTAGTTTTTTGTAGTTTTTATAATCTTTTCGTTTTAAACCTTAACAAAAAAGTTTTTCTTCAGTCAATTTTCTATAATCTTGAATTTGAGAAATTTCATTTAATGTAAACAGAAAAATTTTATAAATAAATAAAAATTAAATAAATAAATATTTATATATAACTAGTTTTTACAAGCTTTATAAATCTCATTTAGTAATTTTGGTTTTATTACGAAATAACGAAAAATAAAAATTCATTTCTCATCGAAGGTCATCTCAGAAATTTCTGTCGAATTTTTGGCGTAAATTTCTAACCCTATTAGCTATTTAGCCAACACAGTAAACCAAAGCATTAGAATTAGTAAGTGTTCTGCTCATCTACTTAGATAGTAGGCAGAATAGCCGATTAATTAATCGACTATTAAATTGCCGTTTTGAAGAATTTCATTGATAAGCACCTTTTATCATTTGCTCGATTTTTCGATAAAAATTTCGATTTTAAACGAATTAGTGATTTGAGCAAATTAGTCAATTCATGAAATTTTTATTCGATTTTCAAGGAAACCATCAATCATTTCTTTTAAATTATTCGAGAATAGACCTTCTATGGTGTTTAAGGAATTGGATAAAGATCTAATTTCTTTTCACACCTTTATCGACACTGTTATCAATTTACGGTTATCAACGCTTGTCAAGATCATTTATCATTTCAACTGATAATCATCTTTTTCACTTTAATTTTTGATTTTTGATTTCCGACTTTGTTGTTTTTTTATTATTTTTGTTTTTTTTTCTCTTTTAATGAACTTTAGCAGTACTTTAGAACTTTTTTGATTTTTTTAAATTTTAGCTATAGTAAACATTGGTTCAAAATAATAATCAATCTGGGGATAGAATGGCTCAATGGATTGTTCCTCAATTGGGAGCGATGATGCTGAAATTCGATTCTCCACGGGAATAAATCTGTACTCCCGGGGTGACGCTGGCGACTCATCCGCACTTCTATCGCCAAGGAAATCCCTGGCGTATTTGCCCAATGCGACAAGCCAGTGGAGCCAGTTTAATCAGTGGTGAGGACTCTTTAAAAAAAAAAATCAATGATAATCAATTAGTTCGCAACAATAATTGATTTTCTCCTATTATCGTTAATTCTAGTTTGGTCGACTATTGTCTATTAACAAATAATTCTTTTTCTAACAGCTCTCACCATTCCCGATTAGGTTGGCTGCGCTGGCTACCATCACAATGGTAAGGGTACGTCTGCGGACTCGGTTCTCGACGCCATCGCTAGTAGTAATAGAAGTCATTCCTTTTTCCAACATCTAAGTCCATACATCGCTGGTCTCCTATACGTTCAAAATCTTCCCTGATTGCATCAGTCCAAGTCTTGATTGGCTCACCTCGCTTATGACACCAACCATCATAACGTATGAAACTGTTCAATTCCAAGTCTTTCCGCTAAATCCGGAAATGCGGAAATTTTTCATATTCAAAAAATAAACTTTGCTTATTTTCATTTTTTGTTTTTAAAAGAATTCATTTAAAACATTTATTAATTGAAATTCAACCTGAAAATAAACGATTTTAAAGTAAAAATTTTTAGAGATGAAACGCTATTGTAAAAAAATTTCTATTTGTTCAGATGACTGACTGATGAAAAGTGCCTTTGTATTTATCTAACAAAACTTTTCGGTTGATTTCTTATGGAAGCTAACTTAGTTGTATGTATTCTTCATATATTAATATTTATTAGGAACATTTTTTTATACTCTACTGATAGTCTTCTTATCACTGATTATATAGAGAAGATTTATTATTTGCCAAATTTTTCGCCTTTTTAAACTATTCACAAATGTTTTTATAATTTTTGAAAATATCGATTTTAAATTAGAAAATAACCACTTCTATAATCATTTTATTATTTATGCATCAGTTTAAGTTGGAATCTCGATTTTATGAAACTCTTCGTTAAAAAAAGTATGTAAAAGTATATTATCGCGAAAGATATGATAAGAAGATATTTCGTCTCTATCAAATTTATTAATTTTATTTATTTCTCTTCAAAATAATTTTCCAAAAAAGATGACTAATAAAAAATTTTTCATTAATCATCTTATTGCTTAAATTTTTATAAGAAAGAATCTTATAAAACAAAAAAAACTTCAAAAAATCCAAAATTTAAAACGAAAAGCAAAAAAAAAGAATAAAAAAATGATAATTGCTTTATCATTTTAATCAATTTAATAATAGAAAAAACAAAGAAATGAGAAAATAAGCAAAAAATTTCCTAAATAACTTCTCAAAAATTAAAAATTTTAAATTAAAAAATCCTAATAATCACTTTTAATTTTTCGCAATATTTCGTATTTTTCGCTTCATTTCATTTCACCTAAATTTATCTTTTAATAATCGAAAATGACCGAAGCCATTTATATATAAAATATTAACAAAACAAAATCACTAATCCCCTCAAATTAAAAGAATCGTAAAAGAAAAAGATCAAATAGAAAAACAGCGATTTATAAATATTAAGTGACCAACGATCATTTTCTATCTGATTTATCTCGCTCACTGAAAAAAGCACTATCTGATTAGCTTAGCAGGGAATTTTACACATTTTTTAATAAATCAATAAAAAATTCAAAAATTTTCATTCTATGAAAAAATTCATGAAATTTATTAAAATTGAAAAATTGAGAATGAAAAAAAATAGTAGCAACTGAAATAATTTCGCTTATTCTTTAGACGGAACAGGTGGCATAAAATATTTCTTTTTTATGTTCTTACACTTCTGCAAATTGATAATTTTCATTGAAATATTACACTTCTGCAAATTAATTTCAAGTTGGCAAAAAAACTTTTTCGAATTAAACCAAAAGGAAAAAATTAAAAGTTAAAAATATTATAAAAATTTTGGTTAAGAACACATAATTAAGCAAACAGAAAAGATAAAATAATAAAAAATCTAAATCGTAAAAAATTAGATATAGGCTAAAAAATAATGATGTTCATCAATAGGCAATACAAAGGATAATAAATTTAAATAAACAAACGCCCAGCATAGCAGCATTCTTCAAATTAATAAAATGTAACTGATAAAATATGTGATAAAAAAAGCTTAGAAATAAATTTAATTGTGAAATCTATATACATACATAATATATTTACAAAAGAAGTTGACAGAACTTACAAAATATTATGTTTTGTTTTCCACATCTTCAAATAAGGAATATAAATAATGCGAAAAAAAATGTCAATTTTGTACTGAAATTTAATATAATAAAAATTATAGGGTAAATAAAAGCTATTCGAAAATAAAAAATAAAGTATGAAAAAATACAAATACAAAAAATTTTTCAAAAAAATTAAAATAAAAATTACTACGCGCTTATAAAAATGAGTATCGCCGAGAAATAATTACTCGAGGTAAGAATCATTCCAAGAAACCAAAAGCCAGTTGAGTTGCATAGCTGATATATAAAAAACCATCATCGTCCACTTCTTTATGATATAGTTCCCCAACCGTCATACTATTCGAAATTAGAGATTTATTTCGAACGAACATGAAAAACGACTGACTCCAATGTAAATCCATTCTTCTGGAAATTAAAAAAAATAATTATTTCCCACTTTCTTTGATTGATTAACACCAAACAAAAACGATAAACTAAAAAGCAGAAATTTTTTTTCACAATCAATAAACTATAGAATTAAATACCACTAAAACCAATCCAAACTAGAATTATAAATGAACCATTAAAGCTATAAAAAATAACCATTCAGAACATAGAATCAATAGTTTAATACAACAAAATGGTATGTATGATAACGGAGATCGTTAAAGCTTGCTTTACTTTCTTTCGACTAAAAACAGACGAATAAAAAAGAAATCAAAATGGCTGCTGAAATCCTTTTACACCCCTACTGTAAACTGATAGCTTTCGACACAAAAAAAAATTACTTGCGGACGATTTGCATCAATTCAGCGATTGTTATATGAGATGGTACAAGATATTTGCAACGTGGAAGCACTGGTAATGAATTTTCTCCCTCATAACGTTCAATGACAATTGGTACTTTATCCAGATGTTGTGCTCGAACATTTAATGCATCACGCAATCGTACATCTGAAATATGATAAATGATAAAATTTTTTTAAAAATTCTTTTTTCATGTGGAAACTCGAATTCAACTACTTTTTTTATAAATTTCAGTTGATCACGACTAACTGCCAGAATAACAAATCATTATCAGTTCCTCTTCTAGCTCTTTTTACTCCATTTCTTATACCACTCCTTGTTTTCCTGGCCAATTGGCAAAATATCAACAAAAAAAAGCATGAGGATGCAGTGGGAAAGGCTGGAGATGAATACCCAAAGTCATCGGTACAACCTAGATTCCATACTTAATAAGAGATTTAATCTTCTCAAGGATCAGAAATCGAACCGCGATACTTGACAAGGTAGCAATCCACTCGATCACTTCTTCTTTTACCTCAATATATAAATTTTCTAATTATTATTGAGAAGTGGTGCTTTATTAGCTAGCTCTGCTGCCTATAAGTGCCATGTGAGAAATTTTTGCCAAAGATTCATTAGGTGATGGAGCACATTATTAGTACCATCCAGCTTTCTTAACAGTCCCACTCCTTTAGGGAGTACAATCCGATTCTGTTTGCCTTCTCAATCTGACCACAATCCCATTAACTGTCCAATCCGTCATCCATTTTCCCCTATTATTATTTATAATTTCTAAAAAAAACAAACCAAATGGAACTCGATCCTTAAAAGAAGGAATATGTCCACCAGAAGAACGCATCTCGTTTCTCTTTCCTTACTTCACTAATCTTTTAATTATTCTCAAAAACCCGTAATAATTCAAATGATTATTTTTTTATTATAATACATAAAATAATTTTGCTATGAATAAAAAAATTTTTTGTCTGAAAAAAAAATAAATTAAAAATTTATCGAAAAGAAAAATCGATACGACTAGCGCCGATTGTGAACAATTAAATAAAAAAAAAAACGAAGCGTACTGATCAGCTGATCGATTTTTGAGACAAATAATCCATTGTACTTTTCTCATATAAATTATTTAAGAGTAGAAGAAAAAAAAAGAAAACTAAAAATAGACCCTTTTTATCAATCTTTCTTATCAATAGCAGTAGTTCATTTAAACGAAAGACGAGTTCCTATCACATCCTATGAATCGAGCTGATTCAATTTCAATCCGACTTTTGTTCAAAGCGAGGAATCCGACTTTTATGTAGTGCAATGCAATCGATTCACTTGAATAACTGTTCTGCTCCGTGTATTCACCTGACACGAAGAGATCTTCATTCTGGGCTTCTCCTTAAGGTCAACTAATCAGCTGATTGGAAGAAAAGCTTCATCTCTTCCTCTCTTTTCCTTTCTCCCTTCCTCTCTCTCTTTATTCTTTATTCCTCCTCCTTATTCCTTAATATGCTTAAATAGCTTAAAACCTTGAAACAAAGTTAAATTCATTTCAACTTAAAAAGAAATTATTGCCATTTTAAAAAATGCATTCAGCTGATTTTAGCGAATTTATTCTTTGAATTTTTTTTTTAAAAATTGATAATAGAATTTTGAAAGAGATCTCTTCATTTAATCAATAATTCTTTAAAGAATTTTTTCATAAAAAATGAGATTATAAAAAATAAACCAAGAAAAAAAGAAATTAAGGAACCCCTAAAGTTGACACCATAATCAGCTGACTAAAGAGAGTTCGGTGAATGAAAAACGAAAGATAATCGGAGAAGAACGCCCTTCTCGTGACTATCGTAATCATATTTTCGTTTTAGGACAAAATGCTTTAATGCTTTATTAGTTACACGTGGATTAAATTTAAATAGTGAATAGTCGAATATTTATTTATTTTTTTGTTTCGTTGAGGTGTGTTTTTTTTTGAATAATAAATTTTATTATTAATAAATTCATCTTTTATATTTTTAATAATTTTTAATAAAATTCAAATAATTATATCGAAAATATTTTGTGAAAAAAAATCATTTTTTTACAAATTAATAATTTTTTATAATTTTTATGATTTAATTTGAAAAAATTTGTAAATATTTATTTAAATTGAAAAATATTTATGAGAAATATAAAATATAAAAAAATTGTTGTAAAATTTTAAAAAATTTCTATTAAGTATACGTTAAAAGAATATTTTAAAATTTTGTAAAATTAGTCGATTGCGTTTATTTCAATTCGATTTATAAAGAAATATTTCGATTATCGACGAAAATTAATTTTTCTTTTTTGTTTTCCATACGAATGAAATTGATAGCCATTTCGATTATTATTTTTATGTTTTAAGTGGATTTATGGTGAATTTCTATTTTCGAGGTGGTAAACGTAAAAAATTAAAGAAAAAAGGACGATTGTTGGCAATTTGCTTGATTAAATTACCGTTTTAATATTTCTTTTATTGTTTACAGGAGATTGATAAGGTAAGAGATGATTAATTAAGCTATCGACGAACGTCAAATGCTGATAAGGTTAGCCATTATCTTATGATTGGTCTTGTTTCTATCCGCTTTCCTATTCCATCTCCATACTATTTTTCTGCTCAGTTTAATTTAGTATGGATTTTTGTGGATATCTATTTGAAAATTGCTAAAAGTGTCATTCCGGATATTTATTCCGGATACTTGAACTTTTATTCATTTTTCACTTGTCGATTGTCTTTTTAAAAAGATATTTTTTTTTAGATATGAATATGAATTATTTTTACATTCGAAAAAAGGTAAATAATTTATAGTTTTCATAAATACAAAATAGATTATTTGCTTGTCTACCAAGAAATATTTTATTTTCCATTATTTTTTATTTAAATAATTTTAAAAGTTTTTTTATTTAAAGGAAAGAAGTAGCGAGAAAATTATGGCTTTGAGGGATATACCAAATTTCATCTTCGTTATTTTTATTTCAGTTTGTGTTTCAATCTTCGTACAGGTGGATTTCTTTATATTAAAGTTAAAAGATAAATGTTTAAAAAACTTTCTTACTTATAACTAGTTTTTTCAAATATCGTTGGTAATAATAAATGTAATATTCCTTTTCTCTTTTCATTTTCTTAATCGAACAAATTTAAATTATTTTATTATTTGCAGATTTTATGGTCAAAAAAACAAGAATTAATTTCATACGAAAATGTGATCTGTGATTTTAATAAATTACCTAATGCAATTAAGAAATTTTTCTTATGTCCACCATCGAATTATTTTTTGAAACGTCAAAGCACATATAACAGGTAATATAACTGAGTTGCCGACGATAAAATGTAAAATTCTAAAGTTCTGATCCTTTCATAATTTTGTATTAGGTTAAATGAATGGCTAGAAAAAGATAATGAATGGATTTTTATAAATGAATAGATAAATTAATGATCTTCAAAATAATTCTATTTTGATTGAAAAAAATATATTCAGAAATTAAAATTTTTATGAAATTTAAAATGTATTTTGGGAATATCTTATTTTCTTATTTTTGGAACTTATAAAATCTATCATCTGATTTTTAGAAATGAATTAGGATATTTTATTGATCCTTTGGTGATCGAACCTTGGTCTGGTGCCGATGTTGTTGATTCAGATGTGATGATTAGCACTTCACGATATAAATCAAGGAAGAATAAAAACTCTGTTGCTGAAGCTAATGCAGCTTTAAAAGCTGCCATAACTTTGAGGAAAAAAGGAAACTGGCGAAAGGTGAATTAAAATTTATTTTTCATTTTTTTTCTATCTTTTACGATCAAAAATTTTTCATGGTTCTTTCCAAAGTCATTTTAGGCTGAAATAGTCATTCATCACGCATTGTCTCTTGCTCCTATGCATCCAGATATTCTTACTGAATATGGCATAATTACTGAAATTGGTAAGGAAAATATTGTTGAAGCTGAAGAATTGTATACGCGAGCACTTCATTGTAAACCAGATCATCGAGAAGCATTAATGTACGCATTTGTTAGATCTTTTACTGGTCTTCATTATTATATATATTTTATATCTTTTATATTTTATATCAAATTCATATTTATCTTGTGACTTTTTTCCATAGGCTATTTCCTTTCTTTTTTTTAGATTTTTTAAAATTTAGCATATATTGCAAATCATATGAAAAGAATTTCGAATATACGATAATAAAATCAATTAATCTCCGGCTATATGATTGAATTCTATATTTATTTCAAGAATTTCTTACAAGAATTTCACTATATTATCATCACTGGAACCATGCAACCAAAACCATTACATAATTAGATGTTTTATTAGAAGAAAAACTATAGTATATAGTTTTCAGCGATTATCATTATCATTAATCATTAATCATTAGTTGATAAAAAGCCTCTTTTTGTAAATTCATTGCCGGTTGAGGAAGTGCCTGATTTCAAATACCTTGGGTCCACTCTAATGCCAAATGGACAGGCAAAAGATAATATTATAACTCGGATCACGGCAGCTAGAAATGCGTTCTTCCGGTTGACGAAACCTTTATGGAATCGTCGTGAAATCACCATAAAAACGAAAGTCCGCATCTATATTGCCGTGATCCGTTCGATCTTATTATATGTTCTGAGACATGGCCAGTGAGAGTGGAGGATATTAAGAAGTTATCTGCCTTTGACCACTCTTGTCTAAGGTACATATTACGGGTTGGTTCGCCGAGTGGATAAAATCTCATCGCATCCGCCTTCGTTCAAATACCACTTGCATAAATAATGTTATCACTGAGCGCCGTCTTCGCTGGTTAAGGCACATTCTCCGTCGTCCACCACACGAGTTGACGCATATTTCGTTATTTGTGTAATGGTTGGCGTCAAAAGCGAGGTGGGCCAATCAAGACCTGGACTGATACGGTGAGAAAAGATTTTGAACGTATAGGTGGACCAGCAATATATGGAGTTAGACGATGGAAAAAGGAATGGCTTCCATTACTGTCGACGATGGCATCAGACCGCGCCGCTTGGAAGCGTCTTACCCTTGTAGCTGTTGGAGCCAGCCTAAGCAGTAATGGTGAGAGCTGTTAGAAGGAGAAGAATCATTAATTGTTAATTGTTCTATATTTATGTATCTAAGAAATAGATATTTTAGTAGGAGAGCTCGAACTTTGCCATTGGTCGAAGAAATAGACAATCAAATGCTGAAGAAACTTCATACAAAACGAGCCTTTTTTCTACGTATCCCACCAACTAATTCTGCCTTACGTCGTGCGATGCGCGAATCCTACTTTTTACACATATATCATAGTGTAGCACTTGAAGGCAATACAATGACCTTAATTCAAACCAGGTTCTATTTCTTTGAATAAAATTATCAACATTTATTTATTTTGAATTGATGAATTTTTGTATATATTGATGAATTTTTGTATAGATTGCTCTTACTATAATCAATTTGAAGTCGTATTATCGAATCCATTTAAATCGATTTTCTTTTAAGATATAAATTCAAGAATTTTTTTAAAAAGGTCATTACTGGAATCTCGCATGGTAGTTGCTGGTAAAAGTATCGTCGAACATAATGAAATACTCGGGATGGACGCTGCTTTGCGTTTTTTAAATCAAAGTGTGGTGCATATTGGTCATATTACTGCTGATGTTAGTCGTAAGCTTAATTCATCTTAAATGAGTTGAATTTAAAAAGGTATCAAAGAAAAATTTGTTTTTTATTTCCTGATATTCGCTGTTAACTTTATTTTTATTGTAACATTTTCCATTAATGAATAAGTTTCTATATTATTTCTTAATGCTGATTCCTTAACCTTTTTAAAGGATATTATCAACATCCATCGTCGCGTCCTATCATATGTCGATCCCGATTGGGCAGGTGTTTACCGTAAAACTCAGGTATTTCTTGGAACATAAATGTTTTTTGCTTGAGTAAAAAAGTTATATAACAAAAAAGATTTTTTTTTTAGGTCTTTGTTGGGAATTTTATTCCTATTTCTCCATCGCTAATCCCTGAGAAGATGGAGGAATTAATTACATGGTTAAACGACGAAGAAACTCTTTCGCTTGATCCAGTTGAATTGGCGGCTTTGGCTCATTATAAATTGGTATAAATATTAATGCAGTAGAAAAAAATTTTTTTCTACTGAATATATATTTTTCATAAATATATATTATTTTCAGGTTTATATTCATCCATTCATTGACGGGAATGGAAGAACCGCGCGTCTACTTATGAATTTAATTCTAATGCAAGGAGGTTTCCCACCAATAATCATTCCAGTTGAAGCGCGAGCCGAATATTATCAAGCTCTCAATACAGCGAATGGAGGTGATCTTAGGCCTTTTATTCGTTTCATTGCTCGTCAAGCTGATTCGACTCTCCAGGTCTTAAAAAAGAAATTCTTTTTTCATATTTTTTGTTTATTTAGAATTTCGCTTTTGATTTTTGTAGTTAAATTCTATATTTTAACGTATATTATAGTTCGGTTCTTAATTTATTATTTTTTATTTTTATTTTTATTCCAAAATTTATTATTTACTATTTTTTAAAACTATTGCAGATGTATATAAATGCCGCTTCAACTTGCGATGCTTCAACTTTTACCTCTAATGAATGTGTATTAGTTCAGGATTTAACAACGCTGGTTTAATAATTATATATATATATATATGTACGTATATAATTACAAATAATTGCTTGTTAATTTATTATTTTCAATTTTTTTAGCGTTTGAATAGAATGCTTAGATATTGTATAGAATTCCTATTTTACCAACTGATATATTTTTTAAATATAAGTTTATAAAAAGTGGAAATATTTTTTGTAAGAATGAAAAATAAATAAAAAGATAAGTGATTCATGTTTTGTTTAAATTATTCCTGTATATAATTGATTTGATCCATTATATCTGTGATATTTTGGCTTTATTTAAAAATACTTTCATTAATTTCATTAATTTTATAAAATTAGTAAAATTGGTTTTATTTTTCTATTTTTTTTTCTTTTTCTTCATATTTTTTTCATATAAATTCTTTCTTCATAAAATTTTATTTATTATTATTTATTATTTATTATTGTTTACTTTCGCTATTATTTGTTTCAAATATTAAAATGAAATATTTCTTGGTTAAATGTGATAAATGATAATCAGAAAAAAGTTTTACCGTTATAGAAATTTTCTTCGTTCTTATTTTTTTTTATTGCCATCTCTTACGATTTGTCAAATTTATTAGTCCATACTAAAATATTTTTTCATAGATAAGCTAGCGATATTCAACTTCTTAGAAATTTCGGCCAAATTTCGAAAATGGATAATGGAAATAATAGAAGTTAAGTAATAGTTAACTGTTAAGAAAAAAGATGTTTTATTTTTTCTTTTTTAAAATAAATATTCTCAAAAAGGCCGAAAATTTTAGGAACTAATAATTTATCAACAATTAGGAACAAGAATTTTAAAATGCAGAGAAAAGATCGTCCTTTGTTTTGTTATATATAGATTATCAGTACCATTTGTTTTTTTGGTTTTAGTAAAGAAAAGCGAGCGAATATTTGCTCTCAGGAAATTGAAGCTGAGAGATTTTTACAATACGATACATCATCTCGAAGATCGAATAATTTCCTTATTCTCCATGGATGGATTCTCTATGAACGATATCCTATTAAATATAATGAATTTAAAGTTTTTAATAGTCCTTTTTCGTCGAAAATATCAGAAATTTATAAATTCACGGCTTTTCAGGATGATTCCTATAAATTTGAATGCCTATAAAATTGGAAATCGTAAAAAAATGTAAACTTGCGAAAGAGTGGTGATAAAGTCTTCAAATTATTGCTATTGGTTAATTTTGATAATTTTCATTTTGATAATTTGATAATTTTTTAAATAATATATCAAAAAGTAAAGAAGAAAAAATTTTCTTAAAAAGAAGTATTTTTTAACAATTATTAACAATTTTTTATTTCGGAAAATGCGGGCGTTTTTGTTTGACACTTTAGCGAATCCATTCTTTATTGATAATGCGATTGAAAAATACTTTAAAGATTGTTGCTGATAAGGATATCAAATGTTGATATTTCGTATTTCGATAAATTTTAAAAATTGATAAATTAATGCATGAAATAAACTTCAATATATGTGAAACAACGAACTCACCTTCGTTCAAATACCACTTGCATTAATTTCACCATAGAGCGTCGTCTTTGCTGGTTAGGGTTTGTTTTTCGTCGCCCACCACAAGAGTTGACATATTCCATTATTTGCTAAACCGTGTGATAAATGGCATTAAAATTCAATCAAATCAAGGATTGGATTAATGTATAAATTAATTAATTTATATTAAAATTAATAAAAAAGTATTAATTTTTTTGTTTTTTGAACATTTATATATGTTTCCACTTTTTTTTCCTTTTGTTTTCGAAATTTCTTCTGTGTGAAATAAAATTTGTGATTAATAAAAATTATTAACATCGTTTCAATAAATATTTTTAGCGCTAAGCTTGGCTAAAGGCAAATCAAAAATTTCGCTAAAAATTTTTGTGATCAATAGCTTCCAAATTAGTAATATTAATATTAATATTAATATTAATAATAATGAATACTCTTCGATGAGATTCGAAGCAATTGTAACTTTGCTATCCTATTGTCTTATCTATTCGGGTCTAATAAGTAAATTTATTGTGCTATGAAATACATTTTGTGTTGGCCAACATATTCGGTAGCTTAGCAATTCATTCTTCTATTATAGAGACGTAATAGCTTCGGTTTTTTCAGGCTCAGCCTTTTTTCTAAGTTAAAGGTTATAGGTTATAGGTTTTTATAGGTATATTTTTTATATTTCATTATAATAAATTTCAATATTTCATATAATTTCACTAGTCTGAGTAATTAATTTAACTATAATTGATTATCATTAATTATTAATAAAATTGTGATAAATTGTTAATGAAATTATTATTTGGCAATTGTTATAGTTAATAATTAATAATACCAATTTATCACAATTTTATTAATAATTAATGATAATCAATTATAGTTAAATTAATTAATTAAATAAACAAACTATTTTAAAACAAAAGTGTCAAATAAAACATAAAAATATAAATAAGTATATATATATATATATATATCAATTTTTAAACAAAATAAATTTTAAAAAAAATACAAAATTAAAACATAATAAAAATAATTATTTTTAATTTAATTTTAATTTTAATTTAATTTTAATTTTAGTTTTAATTTTTATGATTTTATAAATTTTGAAAATGATTTATTGATTTATTTATTTTATATTTTTTTGCAATTCATTTATAATGAATTAAATTAAAAATTAAATTTTTTTTTCAGAGCCAAATTAAATGCTAAAATTAAATCAAATTTATTTATTTTAAATTTATATTTTGATTATAAAAGTTAAAAATATGCGAAAATGAATTTTGATTATTACGATATCCATTTCAATTTTATGTCGCCTATTAAATTTTGGCCAAAAATTTTTCCACAATAAGTTGCGAGTTGCATGTTTGTATTCGTCAATTTTAAGGCGAACTGTTTAATGGAAAATTTTTATACATTTTTTATATTTTAATGGTTTTATTTAATTAATATTGTAATTAACTATAGTTAATCATCATTTTGTTATTAGTATTAGCAATTTTTTTTTAAGAGTCCTCACCTACTAATTAAACTCGCTCCACTCGTTTGAGCAATGTGTCAGTGAGTCCCTTGGCGATAGAAATACAGATGAGTCGCCAGCATCACCCGGATTTTTGGACAAGTTTGCTCCTGCGAGGAATCGAACCTCAGCATCGGCGCTCCCAATTGAGCAACAACCCAGTAAGCCATTCTATCCCCTAATATTAATAATTATATTCCAATAATTTTAAAAAGTTTTAATATTATAATATTAATTTTAATAATATAATTTAATATTATAGAAATTGCCAGTGGAACGAATGAGGGACATTGAGTGATAAATCTCGAAATTGAGTCCACGCATAGTTTCTAAGTAATTTTAGTCTTCTATATTTCTAAATAATTTTAATTAAATTCACTGTTTTCAGTTGTGTTAAAAATCAAACTGAAAAAATTTAATAACATGATCAAATAAGATTTTGGAAGTGTAAAAAATTAAGGATTATCAGTTTAGACGAATAAAGGATTTAATATATATATATATATTAAATAAAATTTTTAATTAGTTTATGAAATAAAAATAAAAATTCTATAGGTTGTTCATCACATTTCGGAGTGCCAACTTCGGGGTTGGTGGGGGGGGGGGGGGGGGGGGGTACTTCCGGTAATTTTATTTCAGATGGTATTTGAGCAAAAAGGGAATCATATGTGACTTCATTCGCTTTTTAGATGCATAAATGGTCAAAAGAAAATCGCCTTCTTAATATTCTCTCATTGGCTATGCTTTGCACCAACATAGGAGGACATTCCGCATTCCGTTAGCAAGATGATTTCGTTTTGATGGTAATTTCCTGGCGATTTCATAAGGATTTACATTATACGGAGGAATTTCCAGCCACGGTTGTCCAGGCCATTTCATTTTTTCCCTGATAATTTGATATAAAAGCGAATTAAATATATTTAAATATATATAAAGTGTGGTACTTGATGAATTGATAAAAAAGGTATTTGTTTGGAATGTAAGAAGAGAAAAGCTGGTGGTTCAACCGATTAAACCAACAATCCAGTTCATTTTCAAGTGCTTCAAGTATGATTTTATTAATAAATTTTATTGAATTTTTATACTTTTTCTTAATACCGTTAGAAAATCGGTGTTTTAAATTTTTTAAATGATTGATCGGTCGCATAACTACGATAACTTCAAATACGTAAAAAATATGTTAATATTTTTGTTAATAAAGGTGGAAAAATTGAAAAGAAGGGGAATTTTGAAAGGAAATAATAAATGGGCAGTGAAAATTAAAAAATTAAAAATTATTAAAAAATTAAAAAATAAAAATTTCATTTAAATCAATTTGGCTCAAATAAATGTCTCGGAAATCCATTTGCTCCCTACACAGCCATTGTGTAAGAGCATTTTCAATTAATTTTTATTCGTGCAGTTTGTGAATTTTCAAGAATATATATATGTGTGAAAAATAGGACTTATTATTTAAATATTTATTTATTATTTATTTGATAATTTAATTAAATCTTAAGCAATATTCCTTGTTTGGCGTTTAATAAAATCTTTCCACTATTGTCGAGTTTTTGTTTTGCTGAGTAATTCTCGACATTCGGCGTGGTAGCGACAATTTCAATTTGATTCGATGACTTTTCTGATGGTACTAAAATTGTAAAATTCGCTTGATGCTCTTTTATACCGAAATTAGCAACCACAATGTAAACCTGAAAGAGTTTTCGATTATTTGCGTCTCATAAAACGAGGCGTTTATTTCCAAAATTCTGATTTTTAATAAAAAACTGAAAAATTTACGTTCTCGTGAAATTTTCTTAGAGTAACACTTGGTTTGATTTCAAGTGACTTTTTTTAAAAACTATTTACTTTACTATTGAAATGACAAAAACTTAAGGTGAACAAATTTTTGCAATATTTCACAAACCGATCCAATGACAGCTCCTTCAGCGTGGTTTACTCTAGCAAACATAATCAAATCATCCGAATAAGGCGCTAATTTCATTGGTGCGCTTATCAAACTTTCATCTCGTTCGCGAATTTTACTGATAATTTTAAATGTTTTTAGCATTGAACGTTCAGCATTTAATTGAGTCTAAGAAGAAATTCAATTTGAAAATATTATAAAAAGTTTAAATTTTTTTTTAAATTTTTTAAATTGTTTTTTTTAAATTTTGTGGAACTATGAATGGCCTAATTACGTGGAACTTTGAAATTTTTCAGCGGCCTATTGCTTGCGAGATCGTCGACGTTATAAAAATTATGACGATTAATAAATTCTCCGAAAGAAAAATGACAAAAAAAACTTTTTTTTTCTGCTATTCTAGTAAATTTATAGTTGAAATAAGCAAACCTCGTAATTAACGTCTTTATAATCATCGGTAGTTATAAAGAATGGCGCATCATTCGTCTGACTAAATCCAGCAAATTTACTACTATCCCATTGCATTAATCCGGTTTGTCCTCCTTTTTTACGATTCGTATCAGTTAAGCCAAGTTCTTGTCCATAGTAAATCTCGATTCCTCCCGGCAATACGAGCTGTATGAATGTTAACAGATTGCCTGTTGCAACATCAAAACGTGAAGTGAGTCGAGAAACATGTAGATTTGTAAATTGCCATATGTATGGAAGTTGCGATTGTTGAAAACGATCCAATGATTTCGATAAAGAATTGTGAATACATTTTCCTATATTATCAGCGCATTTCTGCTAGAATAATGAATAATTTTGCAGTTTTTTTAACTTATATCATGAAAATTATAAAATATTTGTTAGATAAATTAAATAATATTTATTCATTTATAATAATAAAATAAAATAATGACTATTTAAGTCAACTTCCATCCTTAATGGACCACTTGGAATATTCGTTCAATGTAGCTAGCCAGCGAAGCGAGCTTAACTATAAATGGTGTGGATTCATGAAAAAGAGAATATTAAAGAGATATGGGAAAAATTGGGGTTCTTGCATTCTTGCAAGGTGCACTAATCATCAGTGAATTTCAAAGATTTATCAACATTCTTATTTAAAATTATTTTTTAAACTGTGAAAAAATAATTCAAATATTATTTTATTTTAAAGTCCAAAAAATAAAGGATTTTAAAGAATTTTAAAACATAAAAATAATTTAAATTTTTCTTTATCACAAATTTCAAATTAATAGAATTTAAAAAAATAATTTAAATTTAAATTTATTAAAAAAATTTTTTAATCGAATAACCTCGTCTAATTTTGTAATCGAATCATCGATAAAATATTTAAGATTAGTTAAAGAATTAGTTAAATTTGGTTGTAAAATTTTCATATCGTCCACACTCGTGAAGAAAGCGATCTCCTTATTTCCTATCGATTCTGTTGCATTAATATAACCTTCTAACGATGAAATAAATTCTTCGAGAGCGTTTAGCGCCTCTTTTTGCTATAAAAACACTATTAAAACGGGATTAAATGGGCCTTAAAGGTTGATAAAGTAATAATTGATAAGCATCTTCTAGAATCCATAAAATTAAATATTTTTTATATGCCTTGTTTCTGTCTCGGTTTATGTAAGCAACTCTCTTCCACAGAGTCACTCGTTGTAGTAGTATAGGTGTAGGCGAGTTCCTCGCATCATCCAGATTTCACTATAAACTTGTCACCAAGGAATAATACGCATCATCCAGATTTCACTATAAACTTGTCACCAAGGAATAATATTCCTATGTAAAATAATAATTTCAATAGAATAATATATTTCTTTACATGCAATATATATTCCAATATAATATTTATCTTCAAGCCTACATGAACGCTAGAATAATTATTTTCATACTACAATTAAATATGTCAATAAATTACCAAATTATTAAAAAAAGACCTGTTCTGGATCTATTTTATCCTTTCTCTTCAACTGATGAACATATGGCAAATAGAAACCATCAACACCCATACTAAGATATTCTATAGCAAAATTTTTCATAATATCAGCCATTCCTTTGTAGTTCCAATTAAGCACTGGATCACGACCATTATAACTTAAATATGCTTGTTTCTCCTTGGAATCACTTTCATTTAATACGACAAAATCATCGTCCAACTCGATTTCACTCGCTGATTTCCAAATATAGTAATCGTGGAAATTTCCATTTTTTATTGCATCCGTAAACCTGGAAATATTGCATTTATATTTTTTTTTTCAATTAGAAAATTGCGATATTTTCGTAGATTTTTTTTTAAATGACTTACTTTGGCCTAATTTTCATAAATTCTTATGGATAATAAGCTTATGGATAATTTTCGTTTCGTCTAAGATTAGCAATAAATATTTGAACAAATAAAGGTTTGAATCAAACTGAGGACGAAAATATAAGAAAAAACTATCATTAGCCTTAGCCTGAAGGAAAGATAGATTGTTTAGTTTGCTTCGACTAATTATTGGGTATTGTGATACTTCGCTAAGAAGACTTTCTTTCTATAGAGCCAACCAAAGCAGGAATAAGCAGTGTTGTCAAAAGAGGAAAAGAAAAGAAAAACTCAGCCTGGTAAGATTCGATTAAATTTTAGAGAAATGGACAAACTAAAATATTTATTACATTTATTTTATTATGTTATTTATTTTTCACTTATAAAAAATATTTAAATATTTAAATTTTCAAAATTTTATTTCTATTATTCAGTTTTTATTTCTTTAAAAACTATCTGGCTAATTAGTCGTTTTAAGATTTAATTTTAAAAATCTAGAAAAATAAAAGATTTGAGAAAAAGTTATCAAAATATCACACCATTCATGATATTTTGATGTCGTTGCGATAGGTAAATCGATGACAATGTACATTCCACGATTATGTACATTCTCGACTAAAGAGATAAAATCTTTTGCATTACCAAAGCGTTCATCCGGTATTGAATCAACAATATCATAAGGAAGAAAATCATCCTTCAAATCATACAAAACAACCTTAGAGGAATTTATTTGGACAAAAATTTAGGAAAGATTAATTTTTATTAGTTACATAAATATTGGTTTTATTAAAAAATAGAAAAATTTAAGTGGTAATTTTTCTGAATTCAAGTTCTTCTACCAATTTGTCGCATAACACTTCTTTTATAGGAGCGTAACCTACTGGTGCAAATGGTGCCATTCACATTTGTTTCCTTTGATTTTTCCAATTTTTTTTTCAGTTCAAGTTTATTTTTCACTATATTAATAAAATTTTATACAACTTTCGTTAATGCACTCTATCTTAACCAATTCTTATAATAAAAATTTAGCAATGAACAAACTTTTTGTGTGGTGATAACAGGGCTAAGCCATATACTTTTCACACCAATTTTACGTATATCTTCTAATTTTTCTTCAACACCTTTGAAATCTCCAATACCGTCACCATCCGAATCTCGGAACGCTGGTGTGAATATCTAAAATTTTTCTTACTCCCGTTAAATCATAGATTGATAACTAATATTGAAAATTTAAAAATATAGGTTAAGTAAAAATATTTTAATTCAAAGAAAATTTATTTCTTTAAAAAAATATTTAAAATTTAAACTAAAATTTAATGTGCCTAAATTTAACTAAATAAAAATAATAATTGCGATAATACTGTTATGCCTAATAAGAAATTAAAGGAATTTTCAAGACCATTGGTACCATTATTTGTTGAAAATCTTAATTCCTCGCTAAACTATAAATTATATATATGCTTCTAAAATTTATTTGTATAAGAAATAAATATATTTAATATAATTTAAGGTATTTTAAACGTATGGCCAGGCCTGGACGATATGGGCTTCTTACTCAAAAGAAACATTGGTGAGCATTGATGAGAACTTAAAATCGGAACCTTGCTTTGCTATCCAGTGGAGCTGACCTAACCAAAAATACTTTGCACAGCTACTAAAAGAAGATTGAAGAAATAGAAGAAATTCATAATATGCCGAAATGAAATCGGTTAAAACTACTACTAAAGACCATCTGCACAACCATCTTAGGAATTCATTCGCACAATACAATCAATATTGGAATAAATATTGGACTTAATAATGTAATGTGGTCCATGGGCATCGCTTCAATTTAACATTCTCATTATCATATTTGAACATATTCCTATGAGTTACAAGATAAATAGAAATTGAGTTTGTTGCCACAAACATCTAATAATATTATGCGATACAACGAACTTATTGTACAGTTGTTATTAATTTTATTATCTGTGCTGTACTGTTATCTTATCAAACATTTCCAATTTACTCTTTAAATATTCTATTTTTATTGTCATAAATACTAAAAGTATATAGCTATAGAGCTTCAGGGTTTGATCATCTAATAAATAAATAGATAAAATATTTTAATATTTTTACCTGATAACTAAGTTTTGTACGCCACCATTCGGGTTCTTTTTTCGCACTACATTTTGGGCTTAATATGACAATAACGAATGCTGCAGCAAACATACAAACCCATAGGGAGCAAAATAAAATGAATAGGATTGTTCTAAAAATTTTCATAATAAAAAATAAGATTCTATTAGCTTCAGGCTGATGTACCATTTAAAAATTCATTAAGGAAAAAAGCGATGCATTGCTGAACCCTCCTCTACATCTTCAAATCTTTCTTGATTGTCTAGGTCTTGATTAGTCCACCTCGCATACATTATCTTTTAATATTTTTATGCTATGCATAAAGCCATGTATGGCTGTTTCTGCCCTTAGGGGATCGTTAGAATAATGGTTTAAAATGATGAGAAAATTTGAGAAGTTAAGCAATTTTTAAATAATTTTACACAAAAAAATATTATATCTATCAACAATTACTTTAATTATTTTACAGCTTAATTATTTATTAATTATTTTAAACTGGCATTATTTACTTGCTATTGCTTATTATTTTATTTGATATTATTTCTTATTTTATATTATTTTATTTTGTAATATTTTTTTTACCTCAGTGTTTTCCAAAATGGATCACTTCTATATTGTTCGAGTTGTTCTTTTGTTAGACCAATCACATTATTTGATAATTGCATTTCAATTGTATTAAGATTCTTTAAATAATTATTATTTAAATATTTAAATAAATTAATAATAATTAATAATAATTCAAATAATTAAATAAAAATTTTGATTAATTTTATCAAAAATTTGTGCTATCATAATTTGATATTTTTTTATTATATCAATAAGTTCCGTCCCATTCTTAAATGCTATTTAGGAAAACTTATATAATCCAGAAATTTTTCAGAAGAGAAACAAAGATGAAACTGGACAATATATTTCTTGCTGAGTATTTCGATTCTGGAAAACTTTAGAAAAGCCAAGGGTATTATCTTTAGTATCACTTTTAAGAGAATGAAAAAGCTTTGTTTCACTTTCTTTGTTTCACTTGTAAATTTCTATGAAATTTGTTAAGGTTTAAATTCCTATGAAGGTGATACTCGAAATTATTCTTAAATATTCTCGAAAATGTTTCAAGCCAAAAAAATTTTAACGGAAAAATTGCAAAATAAAATATTGCACATAGACATAGATGAGTTTTTTTTCTGAACACAACAAGTATAGTAAACTATTCAAAAATTCGTCTTTAGTTTGCATAAAATAATTTTAATGAATCAAGAAAAATTTTGCTTTTTCCTCATCTTTATTTACAATCGTGAATAAATTTCATATCGAAGTTATAGTGGCACATATAATCGAACAATATCAAGTTAGACCAATGTTAAAGTGAGGTACGGATAAAAGCAAGAAAACTTCGAAGAGTATCAAGACGATGTTTAACGGAAATTGAAGGAGTAAGGCAATAAAATATTGTACATGGATATAGACGAGTTTTTTCTCAATGTATAAAAAAGACATTATAGCAAACTGAATTGTATAGACTGTCAGAAAAATAGAAAGTGAAATATTTCATAAATATTTTTAAAAATTCTAAAAGAATCAATAAGGATAATTCAGAATAAAGAAAATTAACTTTATTATTTTTATGAAAAAAAATAAGATGACTAATATTTGTCGTCGTTCTTATTGCCTAAGTTGAATATTTCTGCAGTCGTTAATAAATTTATATTGATAAATTAACATTGATAAAAAACCAACTTTATTATGTTTAACATCGGCATTTCCTAATTGATAATTTTGCGGAGTCCTAGAAGTTTCCGAAAGTGGTACTTGTTCAGAAGCAACCATCATATTGATCTTTAAAATAAAAATAACTAATATTGGATTGAATCGTGAAGAAAAAAATTTTTCATCGAGCAAAGGTTACTGTTTCACCGGAAAAGAAAAAGGATTCGTTTTTAACGATTTATGAAAAGAACTGTTGTATTATTCACATGCATCCTTTCTTCAAACATAACCTTTTATAAAAAGTGGTACAATTTCTGTTCCTTCTTTAACTTATCAAATTTTATTTAAAACATATATTCATTAAAGTCGGAATGACAAATATTTCCACTGGACAAACATCCAGACTTTTCCAGACTTGTGAATTTTTTTATTGAGTATTTGCTTAATGTTTCTAAAAGGTTTAAAGAAAAAATGCTAAAAAGAAAGAAAAAGTAACTGAATGGCCTCAACATAAATTAATGAAAAAAAAAACTGCTTAAAGTGTTAATACTGCCAGAAAATTTTGGATAAAACTTTTAATTCTCATATTACGAATTATCGAAATAAATTAGCTAAGAATTAGTTATAGAATTAGTTTTACAATATTGCTTGGCTTGTTTTGATGAGTAAACTAAAGGCTTTTTTTTTGAAAAACAAATATGATTTTTGCTAAATTTGTTCGAATTTTATTTAATTAAAATTTCAAAAAAATAAAAAGTTTAAATTTTGGCTAAAATTAAAAAAGTTGTATAAAATTAAAGTTGACAAAGAAACGATTTTATAGCGATTGAAAAAGATTGTAAACTTCAAAAACTTAGAAAAAAGCAATTTTTGTTTGGTTATTTTAATAGTAACATTTTGTAAGCATTGTTATCTCGATCACAGTACAAACATTAGTTTAAGGTAAAGTGACCTCGTGCAACCGATTCGCTATGTAAATAGAATACTTTTATCAAGCCAATTTCATCTTAATAGTTGTTCTTAATTATAAAAAATACTGAAGTTTTGCAAAAATATTGTCTAATATGGCGCAAATCGCTATAAATTTATGATAAATGTGTGACAAAACTTCTTTTTTTAGCAATTATCTGGACTGATAAAAAAAAGATCGGTAAAGAGCCATTTCTTGCGAATAGAACCATGTAAGATGTCAATAATAGCATAAAGGTTTCATTTCTTATGATCGGTTCACTCCTGCTAAAAGAAAGTAGTTGAATAGTAATACCGATTTCTTTCAGTTATCAGTTATTTATCAGTTATTCTGCTTTGTCTTTTATAAATATTTCGAATAAATAATGATTATAAAATGTAATGAAAATTTTTATCACTCATTAAATATGCTTTAAAAAATGAGAAAAATAAAAGTGGGGGGTGAAAATTATATTCTTTAAGATTTAACTATTGAAAGTTTATCAATATGATAAATTTGATATGATAAAATTGAAAGCAACTTGTATGAATTGTTGAATCGAATTATTCAGTTATGTAATTGGTCGAAGAATTTTTTGTTTCCAGAAGTAAGAGCAACCGAAATTATTGCAGCAAATATAGTAATTTTTTTTGGATAATTTTTTCTCCAATTTCTCAAATTTTTTAAAATCTTTTTTCTTATTATCATACAATGAATTCAGGTTTTTCAACAACAATCACCCAAAACTTTTTTCTCTTTTTTAAAAATTCGCAAACTAATGAATGAAAACAATTTAATTTAAAAGCAAATATTAAAAGTATGGAATTGTATTTTTTTCGACGAAAAAACTTAATAACAATTTTTATGAAAAATATGGATAAAATCAAAAAATATATTTCATTGTTTCATTTATTTGACGTTGATTGCACAAAGGTGGAGAAGGAAAAAATATTAACGATGTCTGTCTTATGATTAAAAGATGAAAGAAAAAAGTGCGGAAGTTTTGGAAAAACTCGCTAAATTTATAAATTTATATAAATATATAATTATAAATAAATAAAAGCAATGTTTTTCTATCATTGCATAATATTTGGGAATTTTGTTAAATATTATATATTATATATTATAGGGATAGGATGGCTTAGTGGGTTGTTGCTCAATTGGCAACGCCGATGCTGAGGTTTGGTTTCCCACAGGAGTAAATCTGTACCAAAGCATCGGGTGATGCTGGCGACTCACCTGTTTTTCTATCGCCAAGGGACATTGCCCAATGTGACAAGCCAGTGGAGCGAGTTTAACTAGTAATGGTGAAAGCTCTTAAAAAAATATATATATATATAATATATATTAAATATGTACAAATAATAACGAATTTTTTATATATAAAATGCAATAAATATAAAATATTGGATTTGAAAATTTCGAATTATCATTTATGATTTTGAAAAATTCATGCATTCATTTTAAGCTCAATACTATGGAGTATAAATAGTCAGTACTATGGAGTATAAAAAACCAGCCGATTTATGCGATTGATAAATTTAATTGTAATGTTTTTGGTGAAATTTCTAGTTGTCATAAATTTTCAAGGTCATAATCCATTTTTAGTATAATTATCTATAAGATTATCCTTTTGTTTTCATTTCATATTAAAATAACATAAAAATTATTCAATTTTGAAATCAATATTGTTCAATTTATCAATAGAAAATCAATTCTTTGTTTTATTCACGGTGATAACAAAAATATGGTAATAAAGATAATAAAAAAGATAAATGGAAATAACGTAAATATAAAAGTGCAAATTCATTTAAAAATGGATTTTACTGATAATTAGTGGATTTTATGATTATTTTTTTTCCTCTAAGAAAACTTGAATAATAATAATAAAGTTCATTTACAATTACTATTAAGTCAATCAATAACTACTAATGCTGTTGAGTACACAGCAATGAACTTGAAGTTGAAGAGGTTTAGCGAGAATATTTCTCTCATCCTAGCAGCCGGTGGAATCATTCAAAGCAAAAATGGTGCATTAGTAGAAGAAGAAGCATCATCGACACCGAAATTACGAAAAAAACTCCAATAATAAATCGAAAGAGAAAAGACGAAAAAAAAAGAAATGAACGATAAATTTTTCAAAGAAATAAGCAACCTTGAGAGTTTTTTTCTTTTCGATAGTACATTAAGTTAATGGATTATAAAAAATTTGCAAATAATGAATAAAATAGTTGAAAATTTTTAAGAAAAAACTTGTGAAAAAAGAAAAAAATACGATAGTTATTTGCAAAAATTATTCCAATTTTTGTTGACGCTAACTGTTTTCTTTTCGTAGACCTACGCGCTTTGCTTTCTCATTGAAGTCCTTCGAAAAGTTGCCAAATAAATTATAAGCCGAAATGCTGATTTGGACGATTGAGCTCGTTCTACTGGCCAATAGCGTAGGAGAGAATTTTCGTCAATGAGAGTTAATTGGTGGTATAAAAATACAAAGGGACCGAGCCGTGGGATTGGCCAGCATTATTTGGATTTCGACTTTTTTTTAATGAAAAATTAGCCAAAAATATATGAAACAATAAGCTAATATACCCATTTGACCATTGTTCTATAAAATTTTCTTTAAATATTATTTTTATTTTTATAAAAAATCTTATAAAATATTTTTTGAACAAAATTATTGCTAAATTATCTCTTAAATTCATCATTTATTGCTAGTTTTATGCGAAATTCTAAAATTGAATTTACATAATAAATATCTTAAAAATTAATATTGTTCCATAAAATACGACAATTAAAGATTTATTAACTTTTTATTAATTTTTTATAAATTTATTAATATTATTATTATTAAAAGATTATAAAAACAAAATAAAAAAGTAGGAATATGAGAAAATTAATCGTTTTAATTAATTTTTGATTGATTAATCGCAATAATTTTTTAAAATAAATTTTATAATTTCATCTTTAATGTTTCTTTTCGAGATTTTTTCGTTCATTGAACTGCGACAATTATATTTGCTTTTTTGCTACTGAAAAATGCGAAAAACGAGAATTCTTAGATATTAAATAACAAAATTCGAATCTGCCAAACTGTTAATTTATTATTTATTAATAAATTTTATAAATATTTATAAAATTTTATGAATAAATTTTATAAATATTTATAAAATTAGCCTTTTCAAATTCAAACCTCTGCTAATACTTTTGTTGATATTAATTTTAAAAAAACGATAAACAATGCCGGACTTTTTGTTGAATAATTTTTTAAACAAATTAGCTATGAAATAAATTTTTGCGCTTTCAACAACAAATTTTCGAAATATTAGAAAATTCTATAGAATTATCCATGATTATTGAAAATTTGAACATTTAGCATATAAATATTGTTAGTCGATTTTCATAAATACAAGTGTTTAAATTTTATCACTTATCACCTTTTATTACTTTTTTATTTACTTTTTATTTATTATTGTGTTGAAATTTTGCGTTTGCATTATTGATATTAACTTAAAGAAATGATTGTTCAGGTATTGATCTTATAAATAAAATAAGAGTCAATAAATCAAAATGCATCATCGCCAATTATTGCACTTAAAAATTCACGAGATCTCCTGCTATTATCATTTAATTTTTTATCATTTATCATTCTGCTATCACTTTTTATTTTAAAAGACTGCACAAAGACTGATAGATGAATAGTATTGCATTGATATCGGTCAGCAATGTGTTTCTTATCATTTAAACATTCAAATGATATTCGCTGGAATTTTGCCATGGAATTTTGAAAATTTTAATTCATTTGTTCATCAAAGCAATTTAGCTGATAAAATAAGTGTTCAAAGTAAAAAATTTCAAATAATGCGATCGTCGTGAAATTAGCCTCAAAACAGAAGCATCTAAGTGGCTATAATAAATAATGTCCTAATATTTGGCCAGTGGAAATGGAAAATATCAATGCCTTACTATTCGCCTTTGACCAGTTTTACCCAAAGTGCATCCAACATGCAAGGCTAGTGTACGGTCTTTCATCGCAGACTTTCACATACATCCATCTTTGTTTGAATATCATTTGCAGTAAAATAGCATTAAAAAGCATTGTTGAGATCTATTCTTCGTCGCGGCCATCACGAGAATTGATGGCTATTTAGTCTGTGTCATCAAAAGCGAAGAAGGC